AACTCAAACAAATCGATAACTGTATATTGAACTGAAATATATCAATTAAGCAATATATATATAAAATGTTTTCGTTCTACATTTGAACAGTTATTTAATGATTAATTGCTGTTCAAACTCAGATCACATTCGGTATAGTTCTGTTTTTTTTTTTTTGGTACGCCACGTTCAAGTGTCAGTAAAATGGATGCTGCAGCCACAGATGCACGTAACAACCTGCATTACGCCTGCATGAATATGTGAAAGGGTGCGTTATTAAATCGAAAACCATGAAACATATAAATGGCCAAAGTAATTAATATCGGGCGGGCAGAGCGAGCGACGGATGCAGTTTCCAGGGCCGCTGATGCCGTACTTCTGGAATTACGTAATAATATGTTTGAGCGAAATGGGATAGGGAACTACGCCAGAGGAACAAAATCAATTTTACGTATATATGCATTCATACTATATAGTAGTTGCGCCGTAATGGGTAACGGACATTACGTTTAATTTTACGCGCTTCGCATTTATGGTATTATGGTATGGTAGCTTTTTTTTTTTCATTTAATGTGTATTGCTTATGCATGGCTGCTGGATGCACTTTATATTCCATTGTTCTGAATTCCATGCATTTCATGTAGTTATTGAAAGCTGAGATTGTTATATAGCTCTATGTCGCACAGCCTTCCATCTAAAATCCATTTCTTCTCATAGCATTAAGTTTTTCTGAAGCATTCACTACAATTCTATTCAATCATTCCATCATAATTGCATTAACAAAAAAAGTTTTTTTTATATAGAACGCAGATATGACTGTACTATATCTGAGTTCTACCAAATTAGTTCTATAAACGACACTTTGTCTTTAGAAGTAAATATTCTACTTAAGCAACATTTTCTTAAATAAATAGTTAACTTATATTAAAAAAAAAATCACATTTTAAAATATGAATCAAAACTCGATTGTTTGTGTCTTTTCGTATAATAAATAATAATATTGCAACTATAAAAAATAAATTAAACTGCTGCAAAAGGCTATTGACCATAGGTCTTTCTGCTCGCTTTTTATATTTAATTGAGTTATTGCATTTAACAATAACACTTCTTTCTAATTGAGAATCTTTTAATATTCAATTCAAGAAACCTATTCATTGTGTCATCTGCATATCTTCATTTCTAATTTCTTTGATGTTATTCTCTTTTTCTTGTACAATTTTGTCGAATAATTGTATGGCGTAGGCCTTAAATTGAAATATTTAATCCAATATACTTAGAAATATACTAAATTAAAAATAATATTTTTTTTATGCTTGCAGTACTTGAGTCATTTTTATTATTTAATCATATATAAACACAAAACTAAGCATTAGGTAATTTGAATGAATCCATATAAATTCATAATTGTGGGCATTTGTAAATATTGCTAATTTTATTTTTCTTACTATCATTATTTATATTTAAATTGTCCTTTTAAAGAAACTCAAAATATAAAATAGAAAAAATTATTAAATGCATATGACAAGTAAGTAGTGTGTTACTTTTATAATAAAATAAAGTACAGTGGAACCTCGCATAACGAGCATTTCGCTTAACGATCAAAATAAATTGTAAACTCCAAAATGGAACGCATTATCGTATATTACATTAGTTTACATGGGGAAAATTGTTTCACTATGCCAGTAAAAATCCGGAAATTTTGGAACAGATTATGATCGTTAAGCGAGGTTTCACTGTATGTATGTTGTTAAAAAATAAGATAATAGATTTATTTGCAAACGAACAACTAAACGAAAATAATGACCTTAACAATGTAAGCTTAATTGATGTTTTTGGTATATTAAATGGAATTTCGTGTATAATAATATAAATTTAATGAATGAACAGAATTTTTTAATTGATCATTAGCAAATGTAAATGCCAATTAAAACAAATACGATTATGAGTTGAGAATGAAAACAAAACTAATTTAATATTTATTCTAAAATTTAGCATTGAAATAAAAATAATAAATTAATATTTAAAAAATAACGAATCATATTTTGTATTTTGTTTCGTTTCCTAATAGCTCTTAGATAACTCTCCACGTATTTCACACTGCAAGTAGATCCAGTTTAAAGTTTACTGGAACGTGATTTATAGCAGTTAATACTTGATCTTCTTGAAACTTTACTAACTAAACCAATTCTCCTTAGGACGGGGGGTCTCGCTTAAGGAACTATAATTTCCGAAACATATTGTAAAGATTATACTAATTATAATGAAGTGCCGTATGGTGGTAGTTCGTAAATGTTCATATTAATTTATAATTTTAACATTTACTTGGTCAACTTTTAAAATTCGAGTATAACATTAACAGCTACAATTTCCTTATATCCAATACATATTAAACTTTTATAACAAAAATTACAGTTTATATATATTACATAAATAAACATATCCTAATCAATCATTTAGTATACAATGTAGATTATTCTAAAGTATTCTTATTAAGTTAATAATTTTGACACACTAAGAATTTAATTATATTATTACTTTATTTCTGTTTTATTAAACTATTGGATATTGGGTTGTACAGAAAGTTTGTGCTAATTTTTCACTAAAATTACAATTCATTGTTGATCTATAAACCTTTCTTCATTTTTCACACTACTTAAACATTACATACTCTCAGAATTTATTAGGTTTTTTTTCATAAAATCTTCTTCAGGTATTTTTTATCGACTAAAAATGAAATTGGAAAGTGCATTGTCTTGAGAATACTACGGGTGGACAAATACAAACAACTCTGGTGGACAATCTTTGTTGTGTAGTAAAAGAAATATAAGGGCTGATATTGTCGTGATTTTTTTTCCGTTAAATTGTGCAAAACTCATATATCTTAACGGTTTATGTAAGCAGCTTCAAAAACTTCGTCGATAGTTGTTATTGATATTTTTAATATCTCTGATCATGTGTCGTGTAGTGTGAGTTATTCTCGATCAATATCTTGATTTCATTATTATTACTAGCAAAATTTTAAGGCTGAAATCAATCAATTTAGAGAAAGTTCATTTAGCTAAATCTCTTCTCTGTAAGGAGAATATGTCTTAGTTATTGCTTTAGAAGCATCTTTGGTTTCACAGTATAGAAAAGTATCAAAGTACATACAAATATCTTTTTATTTTTATGCGGTTTAAAGTACTCGATTAATCTGATATTGGCAAAATCGATTACCTGTACTATGAAATATACATCAAAATACGTATTAAACTGTAGAAAGTGTTATAAATTACAATAAACTGAAATCAGATATATTTAAACATTTAGAAATAACCATTAGACTTATCATTTTGTTCTAAATAAATCAGTTGTATAAGAAAATGTGAATATTCGGATTGAATAGATAGTAAATAAATATTTTTAACAACAAGAAAGCGTACATTAAAATATATTCCCGAGGCTCACCCTTTATGAACACGAAGAAGATTATATATCGATTCTAACAAGGAATAGCTGAAGGACACCCTGCATTCAAGCTATGCTTTGTGTGTATGTATATTTGCAACCTTGCTATTCAGGTTCGATATACGCGATTTTTTTTTATAAATACCGGTAATAGAATACGGCACGACTCTGGAATAGTCAACCAAGAGTCATTCTATTTGGCCGTGTCCTTTTGATCCTCGAGCGGGAAGGAAACGAACTTACTAAAAAGCTATTAGTTTCGTAAGTAATCGATTCCGTGCACGAACGGTGTATGTGTGTATTTTTTTTGTTAATATATAAATTTATCAGAGCATTCTGGAAATATCTTAAACATGATCGCAAGTGTAAACACGCTTCGGAGCACGCAATATCTGAATTAATTTAAACTCGATAATGACTTTTGCTTCTCTAAAAGAAGGAAATGAAAAATGTGTTTGTATATATATACATTGAATGAATAAGGGAGAAAGAGGGAATATGCTAAGCAATATTTTGATTTATGATATAACAGAAAGTTATATAAGTATACATAGGATTGTGTAGAATGCTGCTGCGTATATCGGGTTTTCAGGACTTGATAGTCCCAAAATTGACTGTTGTGCTGCAGGGTCCCTCCGCTTCCGTCGGTCCTCCTCCTTCCTCCTCGTCCTCCGACACTCGAAATCGCTGCATTGTAATGCGCTACGCCCGGAAGCGATTTTTCATTTTATTCCGGTAGCTGTGTACGCCGAAAAGCACTTAGGCGCCGCCACCAACCAACCAAACCTCATCCCACCACGCTGATATTATTTTATTACGCAAAACGTTGCCGCCAAAATTGCACTGCGTTACGGTGAAAACGCCCGGCGCATTCGCCAAAGTTATCTTTTATTAACCTAGCCCCATTGTTAAGGACACTACCACTCCTATTAATACTATAATAGATACATTGTGAGCTCTATTGTTATAGAGTAATGCGCGCGAGTAAATAAAGATAAATTGCAGAGAGTCTTGCTAAAACAAATAGTGAAACTAGGCTTTATTTTGTGTAAACATTTCCGATCGATCATTTCAAGCACCTCAAAATAACATGAATTAAATTAACAATATAACAATTGTACGGGTAATCGAAACCGCTAATATCCCGCAGCGTTTGAAACCAAGAAATTGTATCTTCTAAAAAATGTAATGGGTCACAAATTGACAGCTGTCTCTGTATGTCAAAGCGAGGAACTTATGAAGAACTGTTAGCAATTTATTTGTAGTATAACTACAAAAAATATGATAAATCAGACGGAAAAAACAAATGTTTGTTATTTAGGAATTAATAAATAAACAATATAAACTTTAAATAATTATCTTTAGTCTTCGATTTATAATAGTTCTTCATAAAAATACACAAAAACAAATATGAATGAACTACTTTAACCTCCAATTATATTAGATAATTTATCAATATTTAGAAATATTGTAATTTGGATAATAAATATCCAAATTACAATATTTCTAATAAATACAAAATTCAATTCAATTATTCTTGAAATATATTGATGTATCTATTAATTCTTTTGCAGAAACAAAGGAGAATTTAACGATTTCCTAGCACAAATATGCCACCACATGGTCTTTCATCTTGTTGACATTTAATAAGTAAGTAACAACAGAAGTATTTATCATTCAAGTATAATAATATATTTTCAATTACCTACGCAATGCATTGATTACTACAATTAAATGATAAAGCTATTAAACAATAAATTACATTAAATGGTAATAATACCGTTGGTAAATCCAACAAAATGCTGTCTTTTATATTTTGTTACATTTTATATTTAATGGAATAATAGGTTGATTGATTGACAATAATGGGCAACTTCGACCGCGTGCATAATGGACCATTCTCTGATTTAATCAAATTGTAATATGTCACCATTTTCTCTTTAATTATTTCACATTTTATTTTTACTATCAATTATTATTAGGGCAAAAATAATGCGGTCTGCAGTTTATTGTATATTTATTTATAAAATATTTATGAGTAGAAAATAGTATCTGTATTTAGTAGGAGTGTTTATTGTGAATTGGCTACCGACCACAGATCTTTCAGTCATATGTATTATGCGGACATATAGAAACAGGTTGACAAGACAAGATATAGTATGCAGTCTTTCCTTTGTCTTTCATAATATGTCGTTTAGGACTGTGGATATAAAACTCAAATAGTATGATCACACGATCTGATATATTTCTAAAAGTACCGTATTTACGTTCCGGTAAAGACGTATAACGAATCAATTATATTGATACAAATCTGTCTTCCTGCTAATTTTTCAGAGTTTTTTGGCACTATGATGAAACATTGTGTGCCGTAAATCAAAAAAGGTCCATAATTAATAAAGGCCATTATAGCGAAATGCAAGGTATAGGTTTATATGTAATTGTTGTAAATTGAAATGTATTTTAAACTTAGATACAGTGATTGAACTAGCAAATACATATTTAAAGCTATCGTTTAAGATATCTACATATTAATTATAAATTACATAATTATAAAAGTTTATATGTGTAAGAGTGTAACTGAGATTTTATTGTAAAGACATGAAAAACTTTGAAATTGCGAAAGTGCGAAATTTTTGCCAATGGTTGTTTTTCTTCAATTACTAGTCTAAAACTAGTATACATATACTATTAGCTTACATATACTATACATATACTATTAGCATATAATTAGCAAGTTCATAGATTTGCAGTTAATCATGCACTATGACGGATCTATAATTTGCGCTAACTTTAAGTGAAATAATGAAGATGTAAGTTTATATTCGTGTTTGTGGTAGTTGTGATGATTGAATTATGTTACGCAGCATGTTTAATTGAACCATGAGTTAATTGGGGCGGACATTTCGATTGAATCAGCTGGAGTGTTCATGATGTGATTATAATTACATTTAGTAAAATAGATGTGCGGAAGGTAGTCCTGGCATATTGGCCAGTGAACGGATGGAAGGATGGACGTGGATCGGACGTAGAACCAATGGTCATTTCGGATACACATTTTACACACTCGACACAAGTCAAATTGCACTCGCAAATCCCGTCGCCGATTGGTCCATTTCCGCGCATCCATTTCCGTCCTCGATGATACTTAAAATAAACAGCGACCCGCTGATTAATCCCAACTTTAATTAAGTGAGCATCCGACGCAAATACTCTATCCGAATGAACTGAACCTTAGCATTCTTCATCTACCGAGAACGAATCTGTGAATAAATATATTGATTTTCGGAATGGGTCATGTATACATCGAGTGCAGTGCAAACACGGGACGGCATTCAATTCGAAAAATGTCTCGGCCGGTACGGCTCTACCTTTATTTGCTACTTCCCGGACTAAAATAGAATAATGCTAATATTTATTCAGCTATAAAAGTTGAACAGCTGAAGGCGTAGTTCGCATTCGCTTTTCTCTCTCATCATTCACAATTCAACTCAGAAATAAATATTTCTTTTGCCTTTCTTTTACTAAACGATAATAGGTTTCAATCAAACATGGGGATTTTTAGACACTCCTCGAAATGCTATTGTAACGAATAAATTAACCACAAACAGACATGAAACCAATTAAACAAACATAGGTTACCTCGGTAGAATGACGAATTCCCACAACACGATTTTGCTCTAACACGATTCGAGAATTGCGGAAATCCCCATACAACATTACCACAACACAAATGTCATCTGCATTAAACAAAATTAGTTCAGAGGATGAACTGCACAGATGGAATCTCAGAAGTTCAAAATTAAAATGCATGCAGGAAAGCATACATTATTGGTTAAGTAGGAATAAAATAATGTATGTAAAAGAAATTCGATAGAAATCAGCAACTATTCATAGTTTTATTAAACATGACATATATGATAATTATAAAAAATATAGTTTTATATTAAGTCTGTCTCTTTTATTTCTCAAAACATATCGATCAACCTTTTTTTGTGAAACTTTAACTACCATCCATCTTTTATAATTATTTATAATAAAATATAAGCAAATATCCAAATTTAAGATGTGACTATTCATAAGGTCAAGAGACTGTTACCTAACTAGAGGTTTGCATCAGCTGATTACATATAACGTTCTCTAATGTTATGTAAGTGGTGTGAACGGCACTTAAATTATATCATGGTGATAGGAAGAGTCCGGTCAATAGGTTATCAACCTACCGCCAGCAAAACACATTACGACTACTATGAAAATACGACATTCATGACAGTGTATATATACAAGAACATTTCGTGTATCCGTGTATTTGTTGTAAGTAAACATAAATATTAAAATATGATAATTTCAAAAAAACATTATTATTAGATAACTTTTTTTTATAATGAATAATTTTATAGTACTACTACAATTTATAAATAAATATTGAAATAAAATCGTTATGTACTTGAGACTTTTTAATCGTTTTATATGGAGTTTATTTATAATGTAATTATGTGCTTTTCTCTCCATATACCTTATATAAACATAAGATCGAACAACATTACGCGAGACAAAATCAAAATATTATCTTATATACAGACTAAAAAATATAATAATAATTTATTTGATGAATATCTGATTATCGACGGTTGTATTTTTTGTTGATAATAATAATTTAAATGCTTAATTTTTGTTTGTATATGTTGTGTATATTAAACCATTAAATATTAAACCTTTTAAATAATTCAAAAAAATGTATATTTATTTAATGTATCTACGTATTTAGGGATGAAAAAGTCAAAGTAACACAACAAACATGCTGATATGTGCTTAAACTAAATCTATTTTGAGGATAACTAAGTGCAAGCCTATAAAGCGAGTAGTAAGCTAATGCGTTTTTTATTGCTGTAGAAAATTAGAGATTCGTATCATCGGATTCGAGTACGATTTCATTATGGGAAATTATGTAATAATCGATGGGGGCAGCTGGTTCTGCCGTGCATGGCGAATGAACGATGATCGATCTTTCGCTCTTTATTTTTATTTGTTCCCAACACCCTCGAGTTTAATTAATGCGCATATTTTTTCCGGCGCCGTTCCGTTAATCTTAATTAAGATAAACTTTAAAACAGTATAATAACAACTTATTGCTCAATCAAATATATTATAACAGCTCAGAATGTGTTGATTCATTAATATATTTTCTATAAATATATAATTGCATTAACCAAGAACTTTTATTATTACATATCTTATTACTAAGTTATTTTTTGTGCATGTTCAATAAGTTAGTAATAAGTTCTTACAAAAGGATTACTTTACAAATAATAATTATTACAGTGAAGTTATTATAAGCTCAATTTAAAGTTAAACCAGTTTGTGTTGTTAGTCTTTCTTTTTGTCGGCAAATTTCATTTTTAAATTTATAGTAACTGTAAAGTCAAATTATTTTGATTTATTCCTAATTTAGTTAATTTAATTTGTTTATTGGCCGCAATCAGCTATTTTGATTGGACCTAGTAAAGTATTTTTTTACCATTCTCACTTAGATTTATTTTTTTAAGAAATTATAATATTGTTTCATATTATTCATCAATTTCGGTTGTCTTTAATTATTCCGTCTAAAGAACGTACAATTTATCTAAACTGCAATTCAAGTTGCGTAACCAAATGTTGCGTAATGTGTGTGAATAAACTTTGTGAAATGGCTTTGACCCGCTTAAGTGGCTCAATAGAAAAATGGCATTCTCGGAAGCAATTCTTAGCGTAAGTGCGAGCGTAACTTGCAATTTTAACTTGCGGCATTAAAAATTGCGATATAGAAGTGCACAAGTGTGCAATTACATTTAAACGTCAATGGATTTTTGTACAATAAAATAGAATGTTTTTGGAAGTTTAGTCATCTATGTTATATATTATTCAAGATCGTAACAAGGTTAAACAGTTTTATTTGTTTATTTATTAATAAAACAATATATATTTTTAATGACCAATGTTCTAATTAGCTAAAAGTAATTATTATGAGATTTTAATTAGTGATTAATTCGTTATAGTGATTCATATGGTTTTATTTCATTGTGTTGTTGGAATAAATATGGTCAATATTAAAATTTAATCATGTTGAATAACATATAATAATCAAATTTCTATGTTTGTTTCAGTATTGAATTTAAAGAAAGCAATGCCGGGACTGTGGACCACGTGGGCGCTTCTAGTATGCTTCGTATTGCCCTCATGCCTTCCGAATCCGCACAGAGGTCGTCACCATCCGGGAGAGCCGCATGCGGAAGCATTTCATATAGCGCGGGATCCGTTCGATCCTCACAAAGATAGCGAGGAGTTTAGACGTGATGCGCCGGAAGAGAGACGGGAGTTTTCCCGAAGAGATAGCACCGATGATGACCCTCTGGTCGTGCAGACCAAGAAAGGAAAAGTTCGAGGCATTACGATAGATGCGGCAACGGGAAAACAAGTTGATGCATGGCTCGGAATCCCGTACGCCCAGAAGCCGGTGGGTCACCTCCGGTTCCGACATCCAAGACCGATCGAGAAATGGGAGTACGTTCTGAATGCCACCAAACAGCCCAATTCGTGCGTACAAATTATAGATACCGTATTCGGTGACTTCCCAGGAGCCACCATGTGGAACCCAAACACCCCGTTGAACGAGGACTGTCTTTATATTAACGTAGTCGTCCCAAAACCACGACCGAAGAACGCAGCCGTCTTGCTTTGGGTCTTCGGAGGTGGCTTCTACTCAGGCACCAATACTCTTGACGTTTACGATCATAACATAATAGTATCCGAGGAGAACATAATCCTCGTTTCGATGCAGTACCGCGTCGCCTCGCTGGGTTTTCTTTACTTCGGAACAACCGACGTCCCCGGGAACGCTGGATTATTCGATCAGATGATGGCCATGCAATGGGTTCGCGATAATATCGCCGCCTTTGGCGGCAATCCAAACAATATCACGCTCTTCGGGGAATCCGCTGGTGCGGCCTCTGTCTCTTTCCATCTACTCTCGCCTCTTTCCAGGAACCTATTCTCGCAGGCCATCATGGAATCGGGAAGTGCCACTGCTCCTTGGGCCCTCATTACTAGGGAGGAGAGCATCCTTCGAGGACTGCGATTAGCCGAAGCCGTGGGCTGTCCGAGCGATAGCAAAAAGATCCCGGCAGTCATCGCCTGCCTCAGGAAAAAAGATCCCGTTGAACTCGTGAATAATGAATGGGGGACTTTGGGTATTTGCGAATTCCCCTTTGTGCCGGTTATAGATGGTGCATTCTTGGACGAGCATCCGGTCAAGGCGCTGGCTAACAAAAACTTCAAGAAGACAAATATCCTCATGGGATCCAACACAGAAGAAGGCTATTATTTCATTATTTATTATCTGACGGAACTATTTAAGAAGGAGGAGAATGTTTACGTTAATCGCCAGGAATTCCTGAGGGCTGTCACCGAGCTAAATCCGTACTTGAATGCTGTCGCTCGTCAAGCCATCGTCTTCGAATACACCGACTGGCTAAACCCTGATGATCCGGTCAGTAACCGCGACGCCCTCGACAAGATGGTAGGTGATTACCAATTTACCTGCAACGTGAATGAATTCGCACATCGCTATTCGGAGACAGGTAACAATGTCTACATGTACTACTACAAACATAGGACAATCGCAAATCCATGGCCTTCCTGGACTGGTGTCATGCACGCCGACGAAATCAACTACGTCTTCGGAGAACCCCTAAACCCCACCAAAAGCTACACAGCACAAGAAGTCGATCTATCCAAACGTATCATGCGGTATTGGGCTAACTTCGCCAAAACCGGAAACCCAAGTTTATCACCGAACGGTGTCTGGACGCCCACGTTTTGGCCACTACATACCACCTACGGCCGGGAATTCCTCACCCTTGACGTCAACTCCACCGCAACTGGACGAGGCCCCAGACTCAAGCAGTGTGCCTTTTGGAAAAAGTACCTACCTCAACTGACGCAAATCACAGGTAAATATTATTTTGTTCCACCGTAGAAAATCCCACTTTACATAATCCTTACTTGTCCGGTGCAGTTCGTTATTTTTAACGTGTACAAAGGTCAGAATTTGCATAAAGTGCTTTCTCTGCGGTTATGTTGTTTCGATTAAAAAGCTCGCTCGATCTCTTCATAAATATTTCTCCGCACAAACGGAATCCAATTAGTTTTAATTAATTTTACGAATATAATTTAAATTTGTAAGCGAGATTTGTAAGAGAAATTCAGACTCTCAGGATTTTTATGATTAAGAAATAAAGTTGAGAACTTCAAAGGAAATATCAGTCAGTATATGCCAAATATTTTATATCGAATAAAAAACTTATGATTGCAAAGCAGGTGCTGCAATATAATTTATTATTTATGGGCTTTAATAAAAGAAATATTAGATGAAGATGAGAGTAGAAGAATAAAACTGGAGCAAATGTACGAAGAAAATCTCTGCAGAACCATTCGCCTAGAGAATAATATTGCATACGTGCCAATAACGGTCCGTAATATTAATATCAGAAAAGCAATGAAAAATTTGCAATAATAAATCCGAAAGCATGGCTTTATTACGACAGGAAAAATGTTCCTACAGTAGAATTGGCCGATTCGGTATACCCAAGAGACGGAGTGGTGAGAGAAAACAATTATATCGTTCGAGCTAAGAGGGAAAGAGAGATTTTCAGCGATTGTTGGGAAAACTTCCGACCGCTGGTAAAAGGAAAAACTAAAGGAGAAGAGAAAGAGGGAGAATAACGTTAATGTGAATGGAAATATTAAAACTTTTCGCCATATCCTTCACTCGGTTACCCCAATAAACTTGTTCTATTCCAATTTTTTTTTCTTGTTCTCCTTTCTTCGTCTTTTTCTTCTTATTCATTCTACTTATTCCCATCTCTCTCTATTTTTCTCTCTCCCCCACTTGAATCTGAATCGATTTGCCTGTGCCGGAGCATGCTTACCTAGTAGACGGGAGTTTGCAAAAATAAGTTTTGTTTTTCCTTCGGTCTGTCCTGGAAAAAGTTTTTTAATGGTTGCACGCTGCAAATTCATTTAAATCCAAATGGAAGGTTTAATGGATACAGATTCAAGTGGGAATAATATACTCGATAACGAGAACTTTCCATGGAATGTAATTGAATGTGAAATGAGTTAATCCGCTATATCTTAATCAGTTTATGATGCGCTATAAACGCTACTAATATATTTAGGTAAACCCTTATTAAACCAGCGACAACCTTTCATTTATTATACTTATCTAATATATCAAATTAACTATGACTTAACACAATACAAATATCTCACTTATAAAAAAATAAAAGAAAACAAATATTCCAAATACAAATAGAGTAAATAAAGTAGAACCTTGCATAATCCGTTCCAAAATTTCGGGATTTTTACTCGTATAGTGAAAGAATTTTCCCCATATAAACTATACGATAATGTGTTCCATTTTGCGAGTCATTTTTCTTACAATTTATTTGGCTCGTTAAGCGAAATGCTCGTCAAGCGAGGTTCCACAGTGATAATAAATCAAATATTTATTCCAGTGATTTCAGCGGAAAACTCTTTCCGTTTATATAATGTAAAGAAAAAATAATAATTTGCAAAATGTCCATTCTGTTATAAATGAAAAGCAATTGTACCTTATGTAAACATACGAATATAATGCTTGTTAGTATTCATACGTCCCGTATTAATATATTAAATTTCAACGTCCGATGTATTGATCCTATTGGCTCATGATAGTTAATAGGACTATAATATGTTTACTTCCCACGTAAATCCAATCCAAATTCGGTTTAATTAACAAATTTAATTATACATAAGGAGTAAATTAAATGGTTTTATATATGTAGAATTGAATTTTCTAAATAATATGAAAAATATAATAATAATAATGGATTTATCTTCATTAGGTTAGATATTACTATAATATTTCTAAATTTAATATTTTGTTGCATTAATAGTATAGTATACATACAATATTTAATATAAAGCTTATTCTACAGTAATGACTTGATTTATCACAAAAGTTTAAACTAAAATGAAAATTCATATATACTACGCACTCAGAACATTTTAATATTTTAAATTGCATAATTATTGTACCTAAAAAAATTACACTTTTCATAAAATATTAAATATCAGTACAACAAAACTTAAAAAGTATACAAGTATTGAAAAATATCAATCTACCATTAGTTCTTTCCTCTTTGTCAAAATATTAAAAAAAATGTATTTCGTTAAATATCTAAATATTGTATATTGATTTAATGCATGCATATGAATAGATTTACTTATAATTGTTTTATGTGTTTTATAGTTTTCAAATAGTTTGAAACTAACTTTTGAATGTTTGAATTTGTTTCAGCTGAAATACAGAATGCGCCATCTAACAAGCCGTGCACGAGTTCGTCCATGCAATCGGTATCTTCGATAGGGGTCGCCACCTTGGCAACATTCTTGGTCTGCACAATGCGACACCTCTGGTAGAATGTACCAAGCAACGGAAGCGAACACCGAATCATCAAATTTGGTCAAAATTTTTGGAAAGCATATCACCATATTGGTGCAAAAGAAAAAACAAACAAAAAATTCAACAAAAAAAATACACAATACGAGTATATCATTGGAAATTGAAAACCACAACAAAAAGGAAACAAATATGAAATTGGTTAGGGATAGTTATGCTTCAAGCTACATAGTCTACGCTTGTGATGATAAAAAATCCTCGTAGCGGTGGAGATTTTCACTGTTTATGGACAATATTATTGGTACATTCTTCTTTTTCTTTTGTTATTTTCTCCCTCTCATACAGTGATAAATATCAATTGTCTTCGTGGGGTGTTTTGCTTCATGTTCACCAGTTCACCCGGCCTATACTGAATATATAAATAATATATACAAAAATATATGAGGATGAAAGCAGGTGGCTGCAATGCGATTGGAATTGTCGAATCGCCCAAACTTACAAACACAGATTGAACGATGTTTGTATTTTATAAATATATAAACAAAAAATATATATTACAAAAAATAAAATTTAAAAAAAAAAGAGTAAATAAAACAAGGTTTTTTAGGACCAGAAATGGGCTTCTTAGCAGCTTCTAAATGAATACCAAAGGCCTATTGAAATCATCATCAACTTTATAGCGAAAAGAAGATCTTCATGAAGGAGAAAAACCTATAATTATCTTGTTTTCTTTTAGTTTTTGTTTTTCTTTCGAAGCACTGATTCTTAAGGGCTGTGCAAAAACATAATCTGTATAATCTGGCGAAGATTGTTGAATCTTGGAAACAGTGACTAAAATAATGCCAATTGTCTCACAGCGCGAAGTGGAAAAGAACAAGGGATATAAACAAGTCTAGCTAAGCTACATTAATCTAATCTTTGCTGCCTTAATATGAAAAAAAGAAAGAAGAAGATGAAGACGAAGGAAAAAAAACTTGAAAACATAGTTTTGACAAATAATGAAACTCTCTCTATTAATCCTAGTATTCTAGTAACGATAGAGTATACTCTAGTGCCTCCGCATTCTTAGTATTAGCTTGCCACTTGTAATAATTTTTACTTGGAAATAGAGTAAGGAAAAATTAATGGATACAAGCGGCAAGCCGCCATTATACTTCTTAAGCTCGCCCCGCATTACCACTAAAACTACTACTCAAAACATATCCAGATGATGGTGCAAATTTAAGTGAAATTTAATATTTGTTTTTTTTTGTGTAACCATTGTCAACAATCGTGAGAGCGATTATTGTAATTATATATAATGATTTTAGTTTTTAGCAACTTCTGTGTTTAGAAACGAAAAAAAAAATCAACAAGTTTTAAACCGTACCTCATTGGTACTATACACACTATCACACACAGACACACAGTAGTTATGTGTTTAGTTTAAGTTAGATATTTTTGAGCAAAGGAAAAATAATAATAATAACTAATAACTTGAAGACAGAATCATAACTGGCTTTCTTGAATAAGAATAAAAAAAATATTTATCAAAATATGAAGACGATGAGATTTTAACCGAGACCCTCGGATCCCTTTTTAACGACCAGCAAATAATTGTACATTTTGTAACGTTGTCGTAGATTTTCATATGCACTGGATGTGAGTAGCTCTAGTTTAATACTGATATTTAATTTTCCTGGTGGCGAATGGAAATTGTCACCTTTGCCACGAGTAAAATTAAACATCACGTTTGGTGTTCCAATTAAAAAAAAATGGACATATCATAAATTTAGGTTTAGGTATTAATATTATATATATATAAATATAGAATATAACAACATATCCTTGCTTTCGATATACACTGTATATGATGATAATAAGCTGAAGAAAAAAAACCTTTTTAGACTTATATTTAGAACTTTCTTTGGTTTGAAACTCATTCCAATTGAATTTCTAAAATACAAAATAACCATGAAAAAAAAAGTAAATAAAATTGGCTTGCCCGGTTCTTCCAGTTCTTTAAAAAAATATATATAATATATTCGAGTTACTACCATTTTACAAAATGAGCCTAATAGAAAAAAAAAACAAATATATGATATATTAATTAAAACAGCGAAACAAGAAATAAAGTAATTATTAATAATTGTCCAAAGCATATATTTAAGCTTATATAATTATGATTGTAATTATTATTATTGTTGGGGTTGCGTATTTATGTAAATTACGAGGTGGTTGCATTTCATTCTTGAGTTTTTGATTACTTCAGGATTTTTTTCTATGTATTATACGAAAAGCATAGTTTTTATTGAATTTGTTATTATTCTTAAGTGATAAAAAAAATAATAATGATAAAAGAACAAGCAAAAATATATTGAATGAAAAGTGAACAAAATGACATGTTATATTAGCAGAATTATTGTTAAATAGTTTTTATTATGATGTATTTTTAATTCTAAGTTTCTTCCTTTAGAAAGAAAGTTTCTTATATTGTTTGGTGTGTGTAAAAGTATTGGGCCTATCGAAATGAAGTTAATTCTTCTGTTAAATTTTCTCCCATTTAACTGTTTTATTGTGTTCTGTTTCTCCGTTAAAATGCCATATTGTGTATAATTAATAAAGAGGAAAATCTAATGTGTATGAGTTTTTTTGTTTATTGAGTTAGCATTGTTGTTGGCCATGGATTGTATTATTATAATTATTATTATGATGATTGAAATTAAATAAAATAATGCTTGTACATATCACGTATAACCTAATTAATTATATTTACTACATATTTCAATAACATGATTTAAATGTTATTAGACATAGTTACTAATCATGGGTCGAACGAAATATATTAATAACTTATATGAGCAAATTTCAGTTATACTAAGGACTAAGGATTTCATACGAAATGAATATTTGTTTGAATATGATTTGTCTTATAAAATCAGATTCAATTTGCAAATATAAATCAAATCATTTCAAAATAATAAATAAAAAGGTGAATTTAGAAAATGCAGTAAGAACATCAAAATACATCATTAATAATGTGTAATGTATGGAAATTAAAAACTAGAATATAATTTATATAGTTAGGTAGTAGGTAGTTATATAGTTACGTAGGTAACTATATAAATTATATTCTAGTTTTTAATTTCCATTTTACTGCATTTTCTAAATTCATCTTTTTATTTATTATTTTGAAATGATTTATATTTGCAAATTGAATCTGATTTTATAAGACAAATCATATTCAAACAAATATTCATTTCGTATGAAATCCTTAGTCAGTTCAACTCATTTGAATTCGATTTGTATATTGGAAATCTCAGAATGTCTCGGTAAAACTTTGGTATTTTCCTTAAATAGAACGTTGATTCTCCTTTTGATATATCATATTTATTGGTTATACTCAACGTTTAAGAAACAATTTTTATTAATAGTTTCAAAACTATGTCTTTTCATCAACAGACAAACGTAATTTATAAAATCTCTGTTACCAAATTACCAAAAACAAATATTACTTAGTATTCAATATTGTCAATGGATTAAGGATAGTTGAGGTCCCAAGGCAAATTATTTTTCGGAGCTAATAATATTGCCTTTTGATAACCAACAAACAGCTGTGTGGAAAAGAAGTATTACGCATTTGCATAGTTCTTTGAACAGACGAGTATTGAGAGCACTAGATTTTATATAATTGACAATACACTTCTTGAAAAGCCTTTGGAAGAGTCTTGGTAGCTAGGGTAATCTTGCAGTGTAAACCCTTTGCTTGGGGTGCAACCTCTTTAACTTTTGACTGAAAGCCCAAGTTGGTATAGACTCTACACTAGTCGTCTTCATCTTTCATAACAGTTTTTAATGCTCTACAAATCAAAAACTCTTCTTTGATGTCATCCAAGTGAATACCATATATCTTAAGAAGTTGAAAGGAAAACACAGGAGATGCCTTTACTTCAGATAATATTTGTTTCATCACATCTTTAGACATGTCTCTCTCTGAATCGTGTTGTTAGTCAAGGATATATTTTAACCACACTCCCTTTTCCGAGAACTATCTTAACGGACTTTAATAAACAAGGTTTGATGCAATTATATGGAGTTTTTATTTTATACAACATCCAGAGTAATTTCATATGATGCCAAAACTACAGATTGGCTTAGTTGTTAAAACGTCAAAGTCTTAAATATAATTATGTATACAAATTATTTAAAATTAAATTAAATTTTGCTTAATTACAATTTGGTTTCTTTGAAATTTTAAAATTGAAATATAGTGAATCCGGACAGATCAAAGCCGCATTGAAAAAAATAATATTTCTTACTTTACATTTAAATTATAATACTTAGGAGTGAATTTTGTACCTGTGTTACCAGTAAGAAAGGTTTGCTTTAAGGGGGACAATAAAAAAGGTATATTACGTACAGCTTTTGCTGATAAATCCAATAGGAGATACGGCTGCAATGTATTCACACACAAAGAAATGGAATGAAAATAATTTCAGATATTTACTTTTATAAGAATTGCTCCATTTGCTCCAATTGTGATGAATTATTCATAAATATATTAAATTATATACATCTTTATGAAATATTGATTTGTATGAGTGTTGTGTATTTTTTCAAAATACATATATTTGAAATTACAAGTCATACGGGAAGAATAATGTACAATCTCTATGTCTATTATAAGCAGTATATATAAAGGAACATATAAAAGTCTCAGAATGAATGAATTAAAAATTTAATGTTTATCGAACAGCGTTTAGTGCGTTCAGAGCGATTTCCTGCAAATATAGGAAATAAATTACCATTAAGTTAATATGGGAAATGTTATGACATCTTACAAATATTTAGAAGCAATAATTAAAATGTCTTAAGATAAAATCAGGAAATACAAGAAAGGAAAGATAAAACAATATACGCTTTAGAAAACAGATTTGAACTTTTCGAAAATCATTCAATTTTCTATATAACTGCAATTAATAGTTTGACATCTAAATACATATTTAGAAATTATCAGATATAATAGAATATGACTCGAATCAAAATTTAAGCAAAATATATCTATTTTTTAATTATTTACGAATTCTAATGAAATCATCGGCTATAAATGTTGAAAAATGCTATGTAAGAAAATAAAATAAATAGAAAATAAAACTAGTAAAAAACAAATGAAATTAATTTGATTTTACTTCTTTTAAATTTTGATAAAAGAAACTTGTTAATATAATAGAAGCATTAAAGAGACATACCTTTTCTAAGAATTTATATAATAATACCAAAGATGTTCATTCTAAAATTTAAGAAAATCTATATTTATATGGATTGAAATAAAAAAATCATTATATAATTAGAATAATTATTATTTTACAACCTTTCATGCTTCTTAGATTTTTTTGGAACAATATTGGAATATACATAAATACAAGAATGAGTAAATTAAAGAAAATCCTTCTGTATTTTATGAAGTAAAAAAAATATATATTTTGAAAATATTATTATCTTCAGAGGTAAATGTAAGTTCTTTTGAGAATTGTTTTCAATTCTCATAAGTTTGTTTAATTCTTCTTCTGACATTATCAATTTTTATACAGCAGGTGTGGTCAACTTATTACTTTTTGAGATTGTCTTTTTATTTAAAAAGTGATCGAAATTAATGAAAAATTTAGTCATGTCCGAAATATTCAGATTTTCAACTGTTTGCGATCGATCAAAAATCTCTTCGCAATCTTTTCTTTTTTTCAAAATAATTCATTGTTTTCTGTCAATTTTATATAGTCTGATTAAAATTCCATAAATAAATTGTCATTTGCTCCGGTTAACATTTTAGTTAGATATAGGAAAACAAATAATAAATAATATATTATAATTCAACCTTGCTAAATGGGTAACTTACATTACTAATGTTTTAATTTAGTACAGCAATATCTCGTATAGTTCGGCTTCGATCAGTGCGGATTTACTATTAAAAATATCAAAAACAAACAAAATTATATTTGTGTACATAAACTATTTTTTATCCTTTTGTACAATCAAGTCTAATTTTCTGCAGTTTATTTCGGTATGTATTTAATACTTCGACTAGTTTGGTTTCAAATAGTCCGGGATATTGGAGGAATCTAATTGCTGTTTATTATTAACAAAACAACTTCTATATGAAATACTATAGTTTTTAATATGATTTTGACCCTTTTTAAATTAAATACATTTGTTCCAATCCCTAAAAATAGCCTAAATGCGGTTCTGATTGTGTTAAATATGGATCTATATCGAAATACCGACAACCAAAATCTCGACAATCAAATTCCCGACAAACATAAACTAATTTTATTACAGAATATTTCTTATCGTTAAGTTTTATAATGAATAAGTCAACGAAAACAAATACTATAATAATAAATATTTATTGTTATTAATAATTGCGCCCAGGAATTTATTTCAATTTATTTTTTATGTTATATTATATTGATACTGTCGAGATTATGACAATATCGGAATTATGGTTATCGAGATTTCGAATGTAGCCACCGGTTAAATATTATTTTCCCAGCCGAAAGACTGCGGTCAATACATAAATAATACAAATATATAAATAATATATTTAGATGATACAAATGCAATGGAATTTGTTGAATGTTGATGATTAATTAAATGATATAATGACAACTGATTAGGTATACTTATTACAAACTTTATAATAAAAATAAATCCACCAGTTTCATAGTTGTCACTTTGTTTATTTACATAATACACTTTAATGAAATAAACAGTTTTGCTTTCTGTTGAATCAGAGTTAAATAGAATGACATCATCACTCTGGTCAATGACATTTAAATATGTGCATCAAATATTTGTGCAGACCGGGATTCCCGCCAATTGCGGTGAGGCCAGGTGAGGATGGATCCTTTGCGGAAAAAACCCGTACTTTTTAAAGGACATCTTTTCATTTGTTTCTATTCGTTTAAGTGAAGGGAATCAATAAGTTCATCTGTTAATGGCAGATGGTTTTCATTGTGCTGCGGTAAATTATATTTATACACACAACCCAAGGTTGCAACTGGCAAACATCGAAGGAGGGGCATAACCAGGAAGGAGCTGGCGCATGTTAGATTCGTTCTCAGTTCGGCGTGAATGTGTGTGAGGTGAGGACCGTTACGGAGGTCTTGAACTTGAATGACCTAGGATTTTGGTTCAGTTTGTTGATATATATATATATAAAAAAGGAGTGAAACAGAGACTATCACAGGCTGTCATCGTTTGAGTGACCCGCAGGTGTACCAATTCCACCTTTACAGCTGGTTCAGGATTATGATATTCTTGCAGTATTTCGTGCATTTATTATTCAATTAAGAAATTATGGATTCCAGTAAAAAATATGACAATGTCAGTCCGGAAGTCTCTTCCGGTTTCCTGTCGAAATTATTATTTTGGTAAGCCTCATTAATTTCGGAAACTATTAATTTTATTTACATTGACACTTTAATTATTGTAAATCAATTGTTTAAACCTATCAACTCGAAAGTAACGAAACCTGTATCGCGGATAATATCTCCCTGGAACATGTCAACCAAACCAAACAAATAGCCATACTAGTCTAAATTGACTACATTTACTATATTACTTAAATGATTTTGCGATAATAAATCACATTCAATCAATTACATTGCGTACATTAGAAGATATTGAGACAAACAACATTGGTTATTCAACGCTTAGAAAATAAACCCATTGTAGTCGAGTTCTTGACTCATTGTAAATAAAAATAGATTTTGAAATATATGTAATTGAATAGAACTGAAAGCGAGTTTGATGATGTATAGTAAGTTAAGCAACAGTTGTTTACTTGTTAAGTAACTTATTCATATAACATGGATTTGACAACTTGTAACACTACCTGACAAATACATAATTTTATGAATACAATATTAATATGATCTACAATAGTGATGCTTAAAGTTTGGGTCGCGAAAAATACTTTGGAGGTCGCAGAAAAATTGATCACAGACGGGACGGTATGTTTTTCTACATATACGAGGACGCGGACCAAAAAGTTTGAGAAACACTGATTTACACTGAATGAACTATTTGGTACCTATAGTTTATAGCCACCTTTACAGTTAAACACTTTCTTACTTATAGAATACATAATGTACTTCCTTTTTTTAGAGAGATTATAGCTAACGGTCTTCTAGACTTTGAACAAAAAAATATTTCAAGGACATAAGGCCATTAACTTCATAAATTCTCTCACGAAATTTGGCATGTAACCCTAATGATTGCATGTTTTTCTAAACTTGTATATATCCGCCCTATCGCTGAAGGTTATTCGTTAATTTCAGTAGAAATCTGTTATATAACCTCAAGGTTGCGGTTCTTGTTAAAGGTTATGTAGAAGATTAAAACTATAATGTTTGGTCGGTATTTCTAGTATAAATCAAAATTACCAAGGAGCATTTATCTAATGTGATATGTAATATAAATAGTATTAAATCACATATTCACCCCGTATGACATATTAATCAGTAGTATGATTACTAAATAACGTGGAAAATAAAAAATAGTTCTTAGTTTTTAGATAATTTGAATCAGTGTTTTTATATTTTGTTCTATAGTAATAACCAATTACATTTATTCTAACTATATGATTAATTCAGTTTAACAATTATATTGTCATAATACTTGTTATCCTTCTTGTTACGATTTTTATTATTGGTATGTATTTCCGTTTTCATATAAAACGTAATTTAATTTGATTATAATTACTCGATTAAATTATCTGCTATCATTAGTGTTGATGAGATATCTACGAATAGTTTAATAAATATGGTAAAGTGATGGTATGAAGAATTTTCCATATCTAATATACTTCATATTGACATAATCGTACTATGCTAGTAAGTCGGATATGGTAAATATTTACTACATTTCCTATAGATTATTTCGGAAATGCTATTTTTTTGTTCTATTTATGTCATGTTTGTTTCTTTAAATAACTTGCTTTTCTAGACACATTTATTTTTACTATTTTTCTGAATTAAATGTGTCACCGTCCAAACAACGATTCTATGCATCACATAGCAAACATTTGCAAATAAACTCAGACTTCTAGAACTAAAGCTCAAAGTTTATATTTGATAAATCATATATTTTTCCAATGTTAAAATTGCTTACTATCAATACTAGTCACATGTCTTATAGTCAAATGTATTTTGTTTAAGCTGCGAAAATCCTATTATATTTGTAAACACACAATCAGTTATCACTTTAAACAAAATAACATTCACGAGAATTTGTAGATTTGAATGTATATTGAAACGAATCATTAATTTAATTGCAAATTATTGGAAACCTGTATATTCATAATTATATGTATTAATTATTTTTTGATAAAAAACTTACAAATCGGAAAAAATGTTTAATCATCGTTACGGGTTTAGTTTTAGGGAAAATATATATTGCCTGAGTTTTTATCTAATCTTTTATTTATATATAAAGACAATTTATTATTATATGGCAGATGCTACAAAGGTATGGCAATGTTTGCCAAAGAGCTATCGACTTTGGTGTTTCTGCACAAGTAATGTATATATCATTCTTAATTTCATTACAATATCACGTAAACAAATTATAACCATTGTTTAAAGAATAATCTACAAAATAACATTTTTCATTTTAATGGTTGTTATTGGATTAAAATTAAATATAGCACAAGTGTTGTAAGTAAATGATAAATATTATACGCATAAAAAATGTTCAATTGAATTCTGGGATAAGGTAGGATTAAGATGTTTAAGCTTTTCAATTACAGTTGCTGCAATATATATGTAATTATTTTAGAATGAAAAACACTAAAAGAAAAATAATTTGTAAATATTATTGGAAACAAAATTCTCTAAAATATAAGAAAAAATATGATAGATATTTATATTAAAGATACTCATTTCACTAATTACTTTAGTCATTATTAAAAATAAGTACGGCAATACCTTGCATAGTGGGGTTTTGATCAATTAGGATTCACTATAATACGGTTTGAAAAATTATTTACTTTTTATACAAATTATCTTTTTTATATATTGGCGGAAAGGCCAATTCAATATTATGATGATGCATGACAATACGCATTAAGAAATCCACCCCTTGCACATGCAAGTTACATAAGTACGGTGGAAACTCGCTTAACGAGCATAGGCACTTCCAGGATTTCAGTATTCCTTACTCGTAAAGCGAAACAACACAAAAAATATGTATAACGTTATTAACAGATAATTAATTATTCCAACCATTATTAAATTTTGAGGTGGGATTACGCCTGACTGCATTTTTTTTATAATGATGTTTTGACACAATACCTTTTTTGTTTTGCTCTAAATTATATTTGTCAAAGCTATAAACAAAGATTACAAAAAAATGAAGGTGCTTAATATATTCAGTCTAATGATAAAATACACATAATATGTCTGAACACAAGTTGTGAAAATAATGTAGTAGGAGCACTATCCGGGACTTCTCTTCTCGTGTTGCGAAACGTCGCTCGGTACACGAGTCATTTTTGTTACAATATGTTTTTCTCGTTAAGCGAAATGCTCGTTATGCGAGAATTGTATCCCAGGGATGGAATGTATTTGTTTATACAATAAGACGTATAGACTAAGGGACTTCGTGGATGTCTCTTATACATAGATTGTTTACCTACTGTATTGACAATAATAATGGATTGTACAATATAAGTACATTGTTGGATCTACGCATTTTTATTCATTCTTCGTTTATATTTAATATAGTTTTTGTGCAACATAAGACAACTATTCAAAACATGACGTAATTGTTCAGCTATAAATTATATGATAAAACCTATTAAATAGACCGATATGTGTAGTTCCTATTTAATGACGGTATTGTTCGAATGCTATTGTTCCTATAGTCAGGGTACAGAATTTATTGCAGGAAACATACTCACTTTATTAAACTAAAAAGCATTTCCTCATATACAATTTAGGGTCCGTTTCAAAAGCGAAATAATAATTATTGTCGTTCCATTTGAACAATCGTATTAGTGTATTATCAAGAAATAATAAAAGCTTCTGAAAGTTTTAATATATGTTTACAAAAATGTTTTGATGGATTTGTGTCATTGAATGAGGACGTAATATCGAACGGGTAAATGAAATAAGTAGACTCGTCCTTGTTGCATTATTATTATCGAATAATAATCAACGCCAGGTGACAAGTGGTTAGTTTTGAGGTTCAAAGAAAACATTATTTTCATGTTTATATTGATATTTTATTACGTAATGGATTTTTATCGTAAGGGCTAGGAAGCCAACACATTTCCTGTTTTAATATCATTTTTTTTTTGCAGTTCAAATAAAATTTGCCTAGGGCCCAACTTTCCTTTATACGCCACTGTCTGCAATATTGTTATGATTTTAAGATTGTTTTATTTACAAGCAATATATAAGAGATCATTAATTGGTTGACAAATTGATTGTCATCAATTTGTAGTTGCGTTATCTAAATATTTTTACTTTCTTCTTAGACAATTCGGAGATGCAAATAATGATTAGTCAGCAAGAAATGTTGCAACTAATGTTGTTATAATATAAATAGGTTTTATTATATGTATTATTATTTAGATAATAGTAATATTAGGCGGAAAGACCTCGATCGATAATTTTGAGCAATAAATATGTTAAATAAATAAATAGTAACATCAGAAGACATTCCAAACGGTTTAGTTATTTTTTTAGAATAATATAATCTGTAAAAATCTAATGAACATTAAACGCAAAATAATGCTGAAATGTTTCACTTTTATTACAATTTCATGATATTACATAATCACGTAAAGTTTAGTAGTGAAAATTGTATTAATGCATGAGAAAGAAAGCATTTCCAATTAGTGGAATTAAAGATTAATGCTTACTTTACGACAGCGCTCGAAGAAGATTGCATTTGCAAAAAGGTGATTATTTGTTTCCTTTAAAGCATTTCACGTGAAGATGTGATTAAAGGCGAGAAAGTCGAGACTGAATTAAGTTCATTTAAGATTTCCAATTTACGTGCATTGACATACTTTTCATCGCAGTACTTTTTAATATTAAACGAATAATGATTATTTTCATGAGTTTCATTTCACTTCATATACAGAAAATCGTTATCCTACATTACACATACCAATTGATTGCTCAAAAGTAACATTACATATATATATATTATTGTAGCAATCAGCATTATTGTTATAGAGAGCCATTATTCTTCATTTTTTATATTACCTCATCCAAACTATCCGCATGGCTTCGTTCTTTTGTAACGCGGCACTTTACTATTCGATCAATTCATTAATGTCCCTTGACACCTGTTCCCATTTTGTTAGCGAAAACCACTTCTTTCAGAGTGTTACATCCGACATGCATTTTTTTATTACTTTTTTTTTCTTTACTCTAATGTAGAATTTTCCAAACTTTTTATGCAACGTAAAGCCTGAAATTTTCACGGAACAATTTATTTATTTTGTACAATAGGTAATATAATACATAATCAATAAAATTTAAAAAAAATTACAATAAAAAAATCATTATTTATGTAGTAATTCCAGGTTTCCACGAAATAACTAAAAACTTTCCGCGGAACACAATGGTTTCTAAATTATAATTAGATCATGCAGAAAAATTACTATAATCTCATTTCTTGCAATTTATATTATATTCAACTACTATACGAACTACTGAACTAGATTAGTTTTAATTTAATTATTTTATAAGGTCGTTTAATTGAATTCGAATAATAATTAACTAACCTACCTAGTTACCTAATTTTTAATAAATTATGTGTTGTTTTTATTGAATTAACATCAAGAGTGCATTAAATAATTAATATTGTATTTAAGAAATCTTATAAATAGACAATCATTTATTTTGTTTATATATATATATTTACAATTTATTTATTTACTATCGATCGAAGTCTACTCTCAAATGTATATATATATTTTGTAATTTATTGTAGTTTACATTTGCTATTTCAATTAAACTTACTTGTAAATGCACTTAGCGTCTAATCCAGTGATTCTCAAAAGTGTACGTCGTTTAATATATTACTAGAAAAGTGAAAAATCTTTTTACAGATTTTTTTTGTCCTTCATCTTCTAACAATATTTATTTATATAAATGCTAATTTAAGTTATTATATTTGATTCTTTTCTATAGTCTGAATTCTGAACTTATGAATATTTAGTAAGTGAACATAAATAGATATTTGATTGCTATTTAGGATCTGTATGTTAATAAATACATTATATATAGCTAATTCAAGTAAGATATAAGAAAAGCACGATGTTCACATTAGAAATTTGAGATTTAATTATTCTCAAGTTAGATGTGATTATGCGTACAATTGTTAAACGATTTTCAAGTTTGTAATAAAGATATTCTAAATACTTATTCTACTTACAAAGTTAATTCTTATTAATACGGGGTGGGAGTTGTGATTGGTAGTAGGGCTTTGAATATATTGATAATTAAACATTCCCACGGGAATCGGCCTTGGTGGTTTTGTTTATTATAATACCGGGACAAATTTATATGCATTGTTTATATCAAAAAGATGATCGATTACGATTGTACGTGGAAATAGTGTTACGAAAAGGTCTTGAATTCGAAGCACTCAAAAAGGTATGGGATGGGATTGTTTACACTTGGTCCCCTTTGTTTATATTAAAGTGTATCGAACTGGGATCACGATAAAGGTTCCTTTATGCTGATGCATATCTTTATACAACAATAATTAACAAACAATAATAATTGTAATAATAAAGGTTGGACATAACATTATAGTAAAATAATGTAAAAATAATATGGAATAATTAATAATGTCTATAGTTAAAATAGTATAATTTAATATTCCAATAATTTTGGATCTTTTTAAACTAAAACTTCAAAATAAAATTGTCATTCTTGTAAATTATACTAATTTTTATGTTATGTTTTATAAAGCATAAATAATAATTATTTCTATTTTTGTATAATTGATTTGTTTATGTACATGGCATACACAGTTTAAAGTCATTAGTGTGGAAAAAAAAACTATATTGTTTTGTATTATTAACTCTTCGTAATCTAAACTAATGATCATGATAATTGATATGCAAAAATATGAGATTCTGTCCGTGTCATCATTTGATGATGAATTTCAGGCATTAAATAAGATTAAAGAGCATGTTTTCGTTTCGGCTACGAACGAATGGCGAGCGCTGAAATTGATTAGTTCTAATTGAAATGTGCACGCCATAGACTTGATCCATTACAAAACTTATTGGGTCAAAGGCGTACAAACACCAGCGATAATAATGTGAATTTATGTTACACGTTATGTAATAGAAATATTAACATTGATTGCTTGCTCTCTTGCTCTACCAGTTACGCAAGTTGATCTATGGAATTAATAACAATAAGTTTTAACACAGGAACAGAGTGTATAAGATAATTTCGTAGAAAAAAATGCAGATAGCAAATATGTTTTCTCCATTAACCTAAAAACCGCAAGATGAATTGGATTACGTTACGAATGTTTTCGTGTATTCTAATCGTTTATTGGATCAGCAGAGAGAAATGCAATCAATGGCGCACGTTGCGTGTCTAAATATTTACTTGCTTAATACAAATGTTTATAGTATTCGGATGAACTTATTCGCTTTTCTATATCCTTTGGAAACACGAAACCAACTGATATCATATAGTGTTTATTGTTAAACATTCAAAAAGATAACGCCGGAAATATGAACATCAATTTCGTATGAAGTCCTTCTAGATTTTGGAAGTGCGGAATTGGATCGATACTGATGTCAGCCCACATGGCGCCATGTATTGAAATAAATTGGAGATAGTGGCTCGTCTTCAATTGAAATGTATTAACTTGCTGACTTATTGATTATGTACGTCATAACTCTTATTAGACTAATCCGTGTTTTGATGTCAGATTATGTCATACATTTTAATCAGATTGTTTACATAATATAATGCAAACCAAAGATTAATTAATCTTTTGTTCAAGGGCATCTATCAGTTTGCAGATGAAACTTATCTGAAATATTTCATCCTTATTTACGGTATTTCTTGGACACAGGATATATATCATTATCGTCTAAGTACATTAAAGTTAATATATGGGTGTTTTAATGTTCTACTTTTCTTCTACCCCATATAACTTGGAGTAGAAGAAAAGTTTTATTAATCTTAATTAAAACATTGCATCATATACGAACCAAAATGAATCCTATATTATAACAGATATATTAAATCGCAGTGTAGGTTATACCTTTCTCACATAGTATTTAAAATTTGTTATCATAATATTAATTTTGTTACTATTGATTAAATAATAATATAAGGGCGGAAAGACCTCGGTCGTTAGCCCTTTGGCCAGCCTATCAATATATATATATATATATTTATTTTATTTTAGAATATACTTTTTTGGCTCATGTTTGGCCAATAAATTATTATTATTAATAATATAATTATTAAACTAGTTAAGGATAATGTTTGAGTATAAACGCATTTAGCTCAAGCTGAAAATAACTTGAGTGTACTATGTACTAAAAATATCTTGTTTTATGAATAACTTCCTCATATTCGTTATGTTTAAAATCCCTTATAAACCTTATCTCCCATAAGAAAAAATATAATATTATTATATAAAAATTGCATTTATTTAAGTTTATTATTAAATATTTTATTTCATATTATCTTTGCAGTTGGATTCTTCCATTTTTCAAAATTGGTCTCAAACGAAATTTAGAAGTGAAAGACCTTTTCAATACAACACGAGCAGATTTATCTGAACAATTAGGAAATATTTTAGAAAGGTGAGTGATCATTAACAAATTAATATTTAAAGAAAATTTTAATAAAAGTATATTTAGTTAATGTTTTGTTGAATACAGGATATATATCAGTTTTTTTTCTTAATTTTAGAAATTGGGATAATGAGCTGAAACGAGCCAAAGAAGACAAGAAGCGTCCATCGCTGATGCGAGCATTATCAAAAACTTTTATACGTCATTACGCCGTCTACGGTGTAATTATTTTTATAGAAAGTATTATACTTAAGTAAGTATATTACATTTGCGTGCATATACTCGTATTAACATTAACTTGGTTGAAGGTTAATCCATCCACTTGTATTAGCAGAATTGATCAAATATTTCGAACCCAACACAATTTATACCAATCTACATGGATGGCTCTTCGCAGCTGGTGTTGTGTTTATAAGTTTCTTGAACATCTTAATCATGCATCAAGCTGGATTAGGTTGTTATCGAATTGGAATGAGGTGCAGAATCGCCAGTTGCTCGATCATCTACAGAAAGGTATTTACTTTTATTTCCGTAGTGCGAGGTAATTCATTCAATAGTCTTAGCTTTTGAGGTTGAATAAAACTTCGTTGAGCCAGACTGCCGCCGGCCAAGTCATTAATCTGATGTCGAACGACGTGCAGCGATTCGAAATGGTCGCGATCTTCCTGCATTACATTTGGATCATGCCGATCCAAGCCGTCGTCGCCGGAATTATAATGTATAAAGGCGTCGGATATGCTGCGGTTATTGGTATTTTAAGTATAGCTCTACAGGCTATACCCCTTCAAGGTAAATAAAATATATCGATTTGCTGTAGTTATTGTATTTTAAATATTTTTCAGGATACCTTTCCAGGCTTCAGGGGAAATACAGATCGCAAATAGCCACTAGAACAGATCACAGGGTAAAATTAATGTCGGAAATCACAGCCGGCATTCAAGTAATTAAAATGTACGCGTGGGAAAAACCTTTTGAGAAAGTTGTTCAATTGGCGAGGAAGTAAGTATTCTTACATAATAATAATTTCATTTTCTTTTCAAATTTACTATTTATTAATTGTAATTTAATTAGATTGGAAATCGATGTAATAACAAAGAAGTCTTACATATTGGGATTTATGACGGCTTTAATGGTATTTACCGAACGCACGAGTTTGTACTTAATGGTTGTCATTTATGCTCTAACCGGGAACTCTTTAACGAGTGACCTGGTCTTCTCCAACGCACAATTCTTCAATACAATACAACTCTATATGGCGATTTTCTTCCCATTAGCTATTGCTACTTACTCCGAAGCCAAAGTATCGATAAAGCGCATAGAAGACTTCCTGTTGCTCGCAGAAAATCCAAGGCATTACGTAATTAGCGAAGTGTCTGTTGAGAAAGGCTGCATTAAAATTAGCAAAGGAAAGGCAAGCTGGATTCCGAATCCGATAATCGATACCTTAACTAATATCAATTTAGAAATCAAGCCGGGAACTCTGTGTGCTGTTGTCGGTTCGGTTGGTGCTGGTAAAAGTTCCTTATTGCAACTCTTGCTAAAAGAATTGCCATTATCTAGCGGAAAGCTAGATATTGCCGGAAACGTGTCTTATGCTTCTCAGGAACCTTGGTTGTTTGTTTCATCTGTGAAGAATAACATTTTGTTCGGACAACCTTTCACGAAAACCAAGTACAAGGAAATAGTGAAAGTATGTGCCTTAGAAACTGATTTCCAGCAGTTTCCCTACGGTGATAAAACTCTAGTCGGAGAACGAGGAGTTTCCTTGAGCGGCGGACAAAGGGCACGAATCAATTTAGCTAGAGCAGTTTACAGAGATGCGGATATATATTTATTCGATGATCCTCTATCTGCTGTTGATACGCATGTCGGCAAACACTTATTCGAGGAATGCATTGTTAAGTATCTGGAGAACAAGACCAGGCTTCTAGTCACACATCAATTGCAATTCCTCAAGAAAGCCGATCAAATTATAATTATCAATAACGTAATTATAAAATTGTTATAAAAAATATCGTCGCAGCTATTAATGTAATATATTATAGGGACAAATTACTAAGGTGGGAACATACGAAGAGTTGGCTGAAAATGAATTAGCTCACTTAGAACGTGAGTCGTCCACGGAAGAAACCAATGAAAATCCAAAAGAACGCAAAAGGTTGATGTCCATCACTTCGGAAGCGGTAAAATCCTATATATTATATAAAAACACAAATCTATTATATTTTCACATAGAGCACAGTTGAAGATGAGGAACACGAAGAACCACAAGAAACGCAGGAATTAATGGAGAAAGGCTCGATTCCCACGTCCACTTATTGGCAATACTTCAGAGCTGGTGCAAACGTTCTCGCTCTCTTTGTGTTAGCTTTTCTGATCATTATAGCTCAAATGTTTTGCAACTGGAGCGATTTATGGCTTCGATATTGGTAATAAATGTTCAGCAACTAAATTAATTGTATATAACACAACAATTAACAATTTCAGGACAACTGAAGAAGAAGTTTTGTGTGCTAAACAATATAATAGCAAAAACGACTCATCTATTTACACAACTACGGAATTTTACATGAACGAAACAGAAACTGAAATTAGTACAAATGCATTCCCTATAAATGATACAGTATATGAAGAAGGCAGTTGCGATTTCGGTAATTTCCCTAGGAAAAACTATATTTTGATATATTCGGTTTTAATATTGCTGACCGTTGTTTTAACAATTGTGCGTTCTTTGGCATTTTACAAAGTTTGTATGAACTCTTCGAAATCGTTGCACAACAACATGTTTGGCAATATCCTAGAAGCAACTATGAGGTTCTTTGATACAAATCCATCTGGTAAATTAAATTAATACTCTTTGTATTATAAATTTTAATTATATGTATTTCAGGAAGAATTTTGAATAGGTTTTCTAAGGATATTGGAGCAGTTGATGAGATACTTCCTAGATGCATGCTTGATTCCATCCAGATTTTCATGGTAATGTTTGGTATTTTAATCATGGTCTTCATCGTATCTCCCATTATGATATTACCAACAATCGTTTTGGCTGCTCTGTTCGTTGGAATTCGATATGTTTACATGTCGACGGCTCAAGATTTAAAACGTTTGGAGGGAATAAGTAAGCTATTCGCAAGTATTTGAATATTATTTTTAAATATTTTTTTATAGCTCGAGCACCAGTGTTTTCTCATGTATCAGCATCTCTATCCGGATTAACAACAATCAGGAGTTCTGGTGCACAATACATAATAACAAAAGAATTCGATGCTCTCCAAGACCAACACACCGCATCTTTCGTCATGATGATTGTTGCCAGTGAAACGTTTGGTTTCTACTTGGATTTAATAAGTGTACTTTTCGTCGGAATTGTTACATTCCAATTCTTCGCCTACGACGAATGTAAGTTTGTTGCAGGTAGTTTGTAGCTGTAATTAATCAAGCATATTTTTTTAGCTTCGGTCGTTGGTGGTGACGTGGGTTTGGTTTTATCGCAATCATTAATTTTAACTGGAATGCTTCAACACGGTATGAGGCAAACTACAGAAGTGGCCAACAACATGACAAGTGTAGAAAGGGTTTTGCAATATACCAAGTTGGATAAGGAAGGACCGTTCGAGTCTGTGAAGAAACCGCATCGCGATTGGCCTGAGAAGGGGGCGATTATTTTCAAGAATCTCTTTTTACAGTATGCTCCTAGTGAACCTCCAGTTTTAAAGAATTTGAACGTTGAAATTCTTCCTGGCGATAAAGTAATGCTGTTTTAGTTTTCCACAACATTAGATTTTTATTTAGGAATATCTTTCAGGTCGGCATTGTAGGACGAACTGGAGCTGGAAAATCCTCTTTGATTTCAGCAATTTTCCGTTTGGCGCCAATCGAAGGTTCAATTACAATAGACGAAGTTGATACAAAAGAAATCGGCCTAAACGATTTACGAAGCAATATTTCTATTATACCCCAAGAGCCAGTTTTATTCTCTACAACTGTCCGAAATAATTTGGATCCATTTGATAAATGCAACGATGATACGTTATGGAAGGCATTAGAGAATGTAAACCATAAAATCTATTTTTTTATAAAAAAAAATAATTTGATAAATTATAGGTCGAATTGAAAGACAATATTGATAAGTTAGAACAAGAGGTTAACGAGGGAGGATCGAATTTCAGTGCAGGTCAAAGACAATTAATGTGTTTGGCCAGAGCTATAATACGTAATAACAAGATAATAATAATGGATGAGGCGACCGCAAATGTTGATCAACAGTGAGAAACAATATTGATATTAGTCTTATATGTTTATAACAATCAATCATTAATTTTAGGACTGACGCCTTAATTCAAAAAACAATTCGCAAAAACTTCTTGAGTTGCACTGTATTGACCATAGCTCACAGGTTAAACACGATCATGGATTCGGATAAAGTACTTGTGATGGATGCAGGTCAAGCCGTTGAATTTGGACATCCGCACGAACTTTTACAGGATAGCAATGGTATTTTCCACGGTATGTTGAAACAAACTGGAAGATCAATGGAGCAAGAGCTCAAGAATATTGCAAGGGAAGCTTACGAATCAAAACAAATTTCTACAAAACCCAATGAACAAATTATAGCTGCCACTACAAATGCAACGGAAGAAGATAAAAAGGACGATAACTTACACAACAATGATTAAAACTTATTATCTACTTAAATGTTGTGATCTCATATTAATCAGCTAATGGCAGAAATTGAAACAAAGTGTGCTTACAAACCAGTGATACTTAATATTGAACAAAGTTGAGTTTAGAACAAGTCTTTAAAGTTTTGTTTTTGTTTTATTTATTTCTCATTTTGTAACAATTATAATACAAATTAAATATTTTAAATTAATTGAACATCACCTTTTTTCACCAAATTCGAAACACTGTTGTAGGAAATAATCATTTGAGATCCATTTTTGAAGTCCACCAAATCGCCATCCTCTTCATTCCCGTCATCAATTATAACGCCTTCGATTTCGGTTTTTGATTTCAAAAACACGAAACTATGCAGATTAGGTTTAATGTATTCCTTCTTCCAATCATCTGGAGGTAATCCAGGCCAAAATGATAGTACATTATCAAAATGTTGCTCCAGATCTGCAAACAAAAAACAATTGTTACTGTTGATAGTATATCAATAATTATTATCTTACTTTCTTTATATTCTTTAGCAAATTGCAATTCACCAGCACTTAAGTAAGATTCTTCATTTTTCTCTTCTCTGACTTCCTCTTGCTTTAATATTTCATAATTGAACATTTCAATTTTCTCTAATCGTATTCTTAAATAACTTGTGACTAAATACCTCAAACGATAAGTTTCCATTTGATGTAGACTCTTTTGGAAATCATTGCTCTCAAGATTTTCTAAATTCTCCTCCATGTAAGAAATTTGTCCTAGGAGACAGTCCACAATTTCTGTTTTATGGGGTAAAATCTCTGGTGAGAATTTCTCATTGAGCCAAGCACTCTCCATTAATTCTATTACCTGAGAAGCTGTTAGGGCTTCAGTATCACTAGTATTGATATCATCTAATCCGAAGTCTTGTGTTGTAGGAGCTGCAACTTCTTCAGTGATATTCAGATCAGAATCATCAAATTGCTCCCCCATACTATCGTCCATGATATTATATGCAAATGGTAACAACAACGACTGACAACAACAATAAATGGATATTTAAATTAATTTGTTTTTATTTAGATCTGAGGTTAGATTTACTTCGGATTATAAAATTTATTGCCGCCAAATATTTTTTCGATGGTAGAGACATCTATAATTTGTTGGTTAGTATAATTAGTTTTTTTTATCAAATATATAATTTATCGTCCATATTTTCTAAGTAGCTTAATAATATTTAGTAATATATTTTTCAAAAGTATATATCTTATATAATTCTGTATATAATACTTTCAGAAAGAAGCAATAGGTGGAGCTGCAGTAACTAAAACCAGTCTAAGCATCTACGTTTTATATTAAGCATAATTTACCATTAGTCTTACAATCTAGAATGAGAAGTATCTTATTAGCTTGATCAGCAGAAATTAATGATTCATTGTAATTATAATACAATCTATAGTAATATAAATTCGACAATTGCACTTGAATATGGACAGATTATCTGGTTTTAGTAGAACAAAGCACAAATTTAAACTTTTAAAATTGTGGTATTTATTGAAAACTTTTCTATATATAATATACTGAAATGGAAAAACTTCTTAAATGTTGCTATCTAAATTCAAATCTAAGTTGGAACATGTAAAACAATATAAGAATGACATAATTCTAAGATGATTTCATTACAATGAAATGAAGCATTTTACAAAGTATAGAAATATGAGGGTATTAGGTTCTGTCAATATTTGCATTTTTTGCAACCGGACTAATTGATGACTTTAAAACCGCATACAGTAGAACTTTGGATTGCGATTAAGTTGGTAATTTTGCAAGATTCATGAATATTCATTTTAACTTGCTAATCGAGCAAGGTCTTGTAATACGTGTATTATTTAGAATTTATTTTTATACATTACTATAGTGAATCCGCACTATGGGATTTATTGCTTTACGTTACTTCTCGTATATTTTATATGTATATGATGTTATATTCTAATGGCGATGTAGATTTCATAAAAGGTAGTCGTATCATATATATCAAGTACTCAATGCTAATTATACTAAACAATACAATCATTCAAATTCATTCAATTCATAGTATCTACCTATTGATTAGGAAAGTAGCTAAATTGAACTATTTGAAGAAAAAGTGAGAATTACCCAATCAGAGTTCTTCAATTATGCTGCATCACACACATAACATTTGAAGTCTAGAATGTGATTGATATATTATCGTATATACCGTATTAGCCCGAATACAACGCGACCCCGAATTTAAGGCGACTCCGAAATTTTCATAAAGATATTTAGAAAAAAAATAATACGCATAAAAGAATTTCCTTGTTTATATTACATTCCATTAGTTAAACCCAGAATTTAGCGCGAGTCTATTTTTTAACGGAAAATAAATGGTCGAAAAATATCGCGTTATATTCGGGCTAATACGGTATATTATATTCGTCACGTAGCGATTGTTGATGTGACAAATATAATAAAAATATGACTTCCATTTTTGATGACGTTTAAATGACAAATATAGAAGGGTAAAAAGAAGACGCAAAGATGCGGATGAGCAGGGGACGCTACAATGTTAGCCCGGAAGTGAACGCAAACGTGTTTTCCGCTATGTTCTTTTGGTATCAAAATTCAATTAGTTTACCCGGTATTTCATTTACATTTTTAGGTGGGTGTTTAAATTATTGAAATTAGGTAAAAATAAGATGCTCGAAGAGGCTGACTTGTACAACACAGCAGCTGCGGATCTAGCTGACCCCCTTGGACAGACTTTGGATGAGTATTGGAAAATTGAAGTAGCAAAAGCGAGGAGACGCCGTAAAAAACCTTCACTTCTTAAAGCGTTATACAAAACATTTGTTGCTGCTTACATGGGATACGGTTTAATGCTCTTTATTCAATGCATTATATTCAAGTTAACCGATCAATTAAAATGTACGATATTTTTTAATTAAAATTATAAATTTTAGGATGCTGCAGCCAATAATAATGTTCAGATTGATACACTATTTCATGTATCCTAGCGAGAGCGGAATCAAATTCGGTATAATGAAAGCAGCAATATTCGTGGTCGTGGCATTTTTGAATGTATTGATGTACCATCACACTCTCTTGGGTTGTCATAAAATAGGAACCAGATGTAAAATTGCTTGTTCCTCGTTGATTTACAAGAAAGTAAGGTTTTAAAAATGATGTCACTTACTTTGTTTTTTCATTCGATAATATTTTAGTTTCTGAAACTGAGTCTGGTGACCATACACAATAAACAATTGCAGAATGAAGTTACTACTTTGTTGAACAAACAGACTAGAATGCTGGAAAAAGTACCCGTATTTCTGCATTTCGTGTGGATTACGCCGCTGCAAATAATGATTATACTGTATTTCATGTATTGCTTGGGTGGATTTTTCTCAACTATTGGATGTGCCTTCATTTTCATCTTTATTTTGTTAGTCAGAGGTAAGATTTCTATCTATATTCTACATTTAAGTTTTTTAAATTATTCAATATTAAAATATTAAGTGTAATTAGGAGATATTAGTTAGATATTTCTTCTTTTTTTTAAGTCGATTCTTTTTTATTATAAATATATTAAATATACTTGAAGAGTTTTTTTTATAATAGAATACATGTGGGCCAAATAAAATAAGGGCAATACACAAGGATATTAAACGCAATTATTTTGCTGTTGAAAATAAAGCTATACATGCGAAGGACGTGAGACTACAATAATTGCAAAACATATATGATGTGTTTATATAACAATGCTTATTTCAGTTTCGCATGCAAACATTTTGTGGCGAAGGAGTTCATAGGTTTACCATAGATTTAATTAATAATATTACAAAAAAAAACATAGCTTAGTCAAATATTTATATTAAATTAATTATAAACTACGTATTTACATCAATTGGTTTTAATAATTTTGAAATTATTTAGAAGGTACATTTAATAAAAAGCTGAATACAATAATAAAAATAACATTAACTGCTGTAAAGGGAAATATAAAAATATTTAGCAAATTTTATTATATTTTAGCGCCATTAATAAAATATCAAGATAAATACAAGAATAAAATTGAAGACTTATCAGATATACGTTATAATAATATAATGGAAATAATGAAGAACATTTCAACAGTTAAAATGTACGCATGTGAGAAACTTATGGTCGATATATTTAACCAGAACAGGAAGTCAGCTAAGTTTACTTTAGTTTATATTAACTATTAAATTATATATTTTTTATCGCAGATTGGAGCAACATTATGTAAGGTCATTTTCGTACGTAATGGGATTCACGACGATTTTAATTAACTTCTCAGCGCGATTAGGAATCTTCGTCACTGTCAGCAGCTATGAACTGTCGAAAACCCTATTTTCCACACAGCTTCTTTACACAATCATTCAATTTCTGAACTTGATCGAACTGCAAATGGCTGTATTGCTACCCATGGGAATCAAAAGCTACATGGATTTGATCAAAGCTACGAAGAAAATCAAAGAATTCTTGCTGCTGCCGGAAATAGATGCTGCGATGAGATCTAAACCGCGCGAAGATGCCGGCCATGTGAATATGATAGATATCACAGCAACGTGGATAATGATACCTCGGCTTTACACCCTGGTCAATCTAAATCTGGATTTATTCGCCGGGAACATTTACGCTCTTACCGGGCCTCCGTCGTCTGGGAAAAGCAGTTTCCTTAACATTATTTTAAACGAAGTACCTGTTTTGCGAGGTACTTGCACTACTATGGGAAGGTTATCATATGCAGCACAAAAACCCTGGATCTTCAACTCATCCGTGCGGCACAACATTATTCTAGATAGAAAATTCGACAGGAACAGATACAATTTCGTTGTGAAAGTTTGTCAATTGGCTAACGATTTCAGAGATTGGCGTTATTCAGACAACTCGATAATCGGAGAACACATCGCGCTCGATTTGAATCAACGAGCTAAGATAAATATAGCCAGAGCGGTTTACAGATCTGCGGACATTTATCTGTTTGACGAATGCTTCGATGATTTGGAAGTGGATACAGCGGAGAAGGTGTTCAAATACTGCTTGAAGAAATACTTGAAACGCAACAAGACTGTGATTCTAGTGACCAATATCTTGGAATTACTGGAGCAATCAGACCAAATGCTTTTAATAAAAAATGTGAATATTATTTTTATGACATCATTGAAATACTAAATAACTTTATATGTTTTAGGCTAGTGTGACTATGACTGCTTTTGATGATATTCCCAAGACGGAGATTGCTAAGTACAGATGGATCAGGACGGGGTACGACGGGAGAAAAGTTTTGCGTGAGATTTCGCTGAGTCGCATAGTGAGTCTTCATTTGTTAAGTGTTTATTTTTCAATAGTTATTTGATTTTGCTGTAGAAACCAATAGGCGATTCCAGGGAATTCGATCATGCAAAAGTGAAAAAGCTACTGATACAAAAGTACCTGAAACATTATTCGAAAAAGCCCGCTCAAGTTTTATTCCTGTTTACCCTATTTGTTACACAATGTGTAGTTAACGCAGGCGACTTTTGGTTGATGCTTTGGTTCGATACTTTTTATTGTAATTATAGTAAAGAATATTTTTATATAATATTTTTAGGGCGAGTTCTGAGGAACAGTGTTATATGAAAGCGTCAGACGTTAACGAAACTAAGGATATAAAAATATTTGATTTTCCTTTGAACAAATTACTGAGACGCGATGTGGAGATTGCAAAAAAATACGAAAACAAGACTTTCCACGATCAATGCAATTACATTTTGCCGAACGAAACGTTCTTCATATACTATATAGCATTAGTTGGGGCCACTTTCTTTATGGTTGTATATTATGTGATTTTATTCTGTGAACTTCGGTCGAGAGGAAGCAAAATTTATAAGGATACCTTCAATAATATACTACATGCTACTATGGATTACTACTATACGAACACAATTGGTAGCTGACAAATTTTATACTCGTATTTTAATATATTCTCGTTTTTCAGTTAAGATTATCAGAAAACTGATGAGAGACATAAGGGCGGTTGATATGACATTACCCAATCGCCTGTTGGATGTGCTCACTATAAATTCAACGTGCTTGGGTTTTCTGATTGTCATAAGCGTTTTTGTTCCTGCATCTATTCCGATCTGCATCATAATACTATTCGGATTGTACAAATTACATAAGATCTTCAAACCGACGACCGATGGAATTGTTAGTTTAGATGGCGAAAGTAGGTTCATATTGAATAAAATGTTTGGTTCAAAAATCGATTATGCATGTTCAAGCTCGGAATAAAATCACCGATCACGTTCAAGATACTGTCTCTGCTCTCGTAACCATTCGATGCCATAATGCACAGGGTATGGCTATTAGAGAATTTCATGATCTGTACGATGTCAATACTTCAGCTTCGAGCACTATTGTTGTCCTGTGGAGGATGTACGGTTGTTATATTGACTTGTTTTACACTTTCCTGATGGCCTTTGTTATCTTTCAATACTTTGTGGTTCCAGATTTTATACGTAAGTAATTTTTATTTTATTGTTTAAGTTTCTGTTTTAATAATGAAAACATTATCTATTCGTATCAAAAATATTATAAGGAAATATAGAAAATTATTCTTATGAAAATTATGCAAGGTAATACGTACATAACTCTGAATGATATTTTATTTTTAATAATGAACAAAATCTACTTCATTAAAAATAATGATTGTGTTAATTAGATATTATTCAAATTTGATTCTTACTTCGGACTGCTAGCATTAATGTGATTAAAAAATGTTACAGCTTATTTGACAACCTCTATTGTTGGGCTTTTGATCACTAACTGCTTTTACTTGATCGGCTTTGTTCAATACGGAATGAAGCAAATGAACAAAATCAGTCACAATTTGTACAGCGTTCAACATCTCATAAATTTGGAAGATATTGATAAGGAGCCACAGGGTCAAACCATTGTTCCCGATAAAACATGGCCGGTGGATGGGAATATTCAATTTAGTGATGTCACCATGATTTTAGAATATTTGGAGCCAATATACTCTATAGAAATGAACATTCCTACAGGAAACAAGATTGGTATCATGGGCGATACTCTATCTGGAAAAAGGTCTCTGATACCAGCGCTCTACAGGATTTTCGATTACGATGGTCTCATAACACTCTCCGATGTGGACATAAAGAGCGTGAACCTACACGATTTAAGATTAAAAATTTCAATAATGCCATCGGATCCGGTGGTATTCCCAACTAGTGTAAGGAATAATTTGGATATACATGGTAATGTTAGTACAGACAGCATCTTGCAGGCTCTGAAACTGGTATATATTTGTTTGTAATTTGTCTGTAAACATTAACTTATTTCCTGCATCTGCATGATTTAGGTACACGGGGAATTGCACAACGTGCTTGTTAAATTGGACCGGCAAATACAAAACGAAAATTTCACAATGGAGCACAGACACATCATTAGTCTATTGCGAGTGGTGTTGCAGAAAAATAAAATCCTAATAGTAGAAGAATGTGAAACGAGGCTGGAAAAAGAGTAAGCTCTGAATGAAACAATGACTGACTTACCAAAACAAGACATTTTCAGAACGGAGTACTTCATCCAGCAAGTAATCAATGAGAAGTTCATGAAAAATACTGTGATTCAAATCACAAACAATTTAAGCAATATAATTAAATATGATTTAATATTCTACATGGCAAAAGGAAGGATCGTTGAGAGCGGAAGTGCGGTAGAACTGTTGAATCAGAAAAGTGAAAACATCAAGAAGTACTTCGACAGGATGTATCCGGAAGAACAAGAGCGCTACCGGACAGAATTGCAAATCAGTGTCTAAAAATGGACGACATCTAGACTCTAATACGTGTAATTCGTTTCTAATATACTTTAATTATACTTTTATAAACCATACGAGACGAAATATTTATTTTCATCATCTTTTTTTTTGTATGCAAATGATTCAATAGATGATCACTAAGCGGAAGACAACTTTTACTTTTTTTTTCAGATGAAGATTCGAACCGCCGTAACACTGTTTATTTATTACATTAAACAACTTTCTTTGCTTATTAGCAATCTATTAATAATAATTCATGCACTTTGGATGTTTGCCCAAACAAATAATTGTCATTCTTGAACTTTGGACCGTGTCTCGTACGTTCCAGTGATGATTCATTAGAATATTGTTAACTAATTCTGTCACTAAATGCAATTCATAAATTATTTATAAATTTTTCTCTGATATAATCTTGAGAAATCCGCAAAATATTAAATGTAGTGAAACGCATTCTTTCTGTAATTTATTATATGCTGTATGTTTTTTATATTGGAAATAAATCTAACATCTCCAAAAACTCTCTAATGCATAAAAAGGTTACTGACCACATATACACAGAGTAGAAGCTAGAAATATTCAAATATTGCAATGTTTACAGTTATTTTTAGACATCTGATATTCTCCAGAATTGTACAGGGGTTTTCTTTAAATAAAGAAAATAATTTAAAATATCTTTAAGTAGACTGATTTTTTAAAATTTATTTTGTGCTAGTATCTTGGCTAATTTAAATACCATCCAATTAGTTTTTAAATTAACTAATACAAGTTTACAAGTTGTATACTATTTAAAGAATTTCAATTTGTAAGTTTTTTTATTGGTTTAAAATATAAATATATAATCTAAAGATAAGACCGTAGCAAAAAAGAAAATTTGCAAAATTTAAATCTCAGTTCTTATAAAATTTAATGTATGTTAATATTGATGTTTCATAACTAATTATTATTTATGTTTATTTTAGTAAGAAATTGAGAAATTATATAAAATATGATCATTAGTTTGTATATGATTATTGAAAGTATTTAACATGGAAACATACCATGAAAACAATACTTTAAACTAATAATATCATGCAACTAAATAAGAATTAGAAAATAGTTTTAAATTCTTTAAACTTTCTATTGATTACAGAAGTCAATAACCTATAGTTTTTGAGTCATCTTTGAAATGTAATGAATAATAATAGTGCTTTTTATCTTATACTATAAATATACTATTATTATAGGATATACTATTAAATAATAGGAGCATTTTATAAAATAAGAAAACAGATATAGACTAAATATATTGAGTATAAAAAGCTGATTAACAAAGAAATTTTAAATAACGTTTATTTTTAATGTTGTCACTTATATATTTTAATTAAAAGTGATTTTTGTATAAAAGAACTTTCAATTTGAGATATGTTAAATACAAATACAAAATAAATGTTCCGTGCACAACCGCTGGTGCTATTAATGTCATTGTACGTTAGTGCGGATATATGTAACTTAGTTTGGTAGTAAATATTCATGTACGTCATTTGAAATGTACGTTAATCAAATTTAAATTAACTGAATGGGAACTGAAATGTTATATAAATTATACACACTATATTCTTCATTAGAAAAAAGTGAAATGATAAAATTGCTAAGAACTTAATAAACTGTGTGCTATGGACAACGTTTTAATATAATTTGTACACAAAAATAAGAACTTTTACTTTTTTCAAGTCGAACGGTAAACGCATTGTTCGTATAGTGGAAGTCTTCTCACGAGTCTTCGATTATCAACAGCAGACGAACCGACGGATAAGCAACGGATTTCACATTGAAGAGAATTACCACGGAGGTAGAATCTGCGGACCAGGTTATTTCGCAATAGCGCCAAACTTTAATTGCAGCTAATTGTCGGAAACCGTCGATGAGAAAGGCAATCAAAACGAAAATAATGAAGGATGATGGGAACTTTTCTTCTCGCGGTCCTAACCAAAAGAGGTCCACTTTTGGAGCATAATTTTCGAATGGTTTCAGTTACGCGATTCGTATCTATCCGCTAAATTGCTATGTAAATTTCGTTTTACCAATGGAATTGGAAAGAAAGTGAGTCGGTGATGCAACGCCGCTGAGCCGAGAGCATCTTTTCGGGCCGGAAGCTTATTGTTTTTGGACCATTGTTGTTCTGTATTTCGCGCTTCAGGTAATGAATAATATGGACGGATAATTGAAACAGCCTTTTAACAATGCACATTTACAGCCGACACGGCCGAAACCTTTTCTGCATATTCAGATTCATCCGTAGACAATCTGCCGTGCTTTTACTTTGTTTGTATAATTGATACATAAACGAAATGATTATAGTATTGTTCTTTTCTTTGCTTTAAATTTACCACATCGTGAAAATAAAGATTAAAACATGCTTAGCGATAAATGTTAATTTCGAACAATATTGTAATTTCAAATGAAGATAATATCATGGTACGGCAATCGAGGAAATATTTAAAACATATAAATAAAGAATTTCATACAAAAATAACGATTGGATTTTCAAGTAAAATAAAATGTATTTGTGTTTCTTGACCACAGCATAACAAAACCCAACAACCTGTAGACTTTCAATCGACCACAAATTTATGAAGTACTTAAAGCACTTTCTCATTTAATAAATAATATTACTCAATTTTAATATATTTAACCTTTATATTGATCAAACAATAAAAATTAAAATTGTTACTGCAGCATAAAATATAGTTATAAATATAGTTTTAGAATAAATACATATCTTATATAAGTTTTTTTTTTCACAATCTGTTCATCAATGTGTACATTGAGTAAATTTAAGATCGCGGTTGACATTAAATGGATAATCTTTCCTGGTGGATTATGATGATTTGATTTTTAATTTGTTGGTTGGCTGTCGTCTTGTAGGTTAAATTCATATTGATGCTCTGCGATTCCACTATTTCCTTTGACTGTGTATCTGCTTCTATCCTTAACACTGTCATTGTCCATCGACTTGGCTGAAGGTCCATATGCAATACCTTATTAATCTGCAGGGCTTACAAGGGGCCTGGCTTGACCAGGATTTGAACCGGCGCCCACTAGATCGTGGGTAGGACGACTTAACCATTCGGCTATTAGTCGTCCACTTTATATATGTGACTTTGATTAGTGAGTATTCAATAAATTCTAAATCATTAGTACAAAAAAAATATTTTACATTTATATATAAAATGATTGTAGTTTTTACACTTATGCGGTTTTCAAATAGTCGATAAGTTCGGTTTCGAACAGTGCAGGATATTGGCAGAGTATTTATAGAAAATAGTTTTGTAATTTTTATTAAATTTAATTTTTATACTAATAAAATATATTTATGTACATGTTTCTGACTATTATGTTAAATTATTATTTGGAACAAATTTGGAACAAAAAACGTATTTTTGGCTTTTACTTGAAACTGTGTTAATGTTAGAATTTGAACCATAGAGCATATGTCTTCCTAGCATATGTAGTGCACGAAACACGTATCGATATTATTATTATTAGTAATTCGTTCAAAATCTTGTTTATTTTAACTATTGTAGGTCACAGCCCAATTGAGTATGTATGTAACTAGATTAAGTTATTAATGTATAATTTAGTTGAATATGCATTAAAAATACTAACAATATTTATTGCAATACTACACAAATAATTACATAGAAAAGAATAAGATCTAGTCTATAGGTAAATTATATTATGTAGGCCTAAAAAGCTATGATCAATAACATGTATTTTTTTCTCTTTAATATGTTTATATAAATATTATTAATATTTTGCTGTTTATTAATTATTTAGTAGTGTAATAATTAAATTCAAGTTAGCTTTAAAAGAATAAAATGACGTTTGTCGTATAAAAAAAAAAGATTATCGAATAAGAAGAAAGATTTTTTTCTTTCATCTGTTAATGTGCGATGTCAATGAAATACATCAATCCCATATAAAATTTATGAATCTTTCGAAGAGGAGGCAGAGAAGAGAAATTATATTGTACATTTAGTGTATATGTAAAGCGAGTTTCGCGCGATTTCGCAACCTTCGTCCTGTCTTCTCTTTCTACAGCGTGCATGTGCATATTTGTCGTAGAGAGTTTGGCCTCTGGGATGGATCTCTCGAGAGATTCAGCCTAGAAGAAATCCCCTTCTTCGGATCGAGAGGGAGAGTTCGCACGAGGCGTCGGAGGTGAGGCCCCAGACTAAAAGAAGAGTCTGCACCTGAGGAAGATTCAGTCCATTCTTGCACCGCGCGCATTTTACTTCGGATGGTGTGATCCTTTCTTTGTCGGTTCAACATGAAGAACTCTTTCGCATGTTATGTTCTCCTGGTTCTGTGTGTTGATGCTGCGTTTGCGCAGTTTATTGGACCACCGCAAAATGTAAGAAAAATCTTTTATTATTTTTTATTATTACAATTATTACTAACTATTTGTATTAACATATTTTTCAATTCAATAGCCAGTTGAAATAATGTATGTGTATTTTCAAACTTTTTTTGTCTTATTTCTAGTATTGCCTAATTATTATAATAAACATATATATTGATTGTTCTTAAAATTATTAAATTTTGTACAGAGCTTTTCAAATCAATTTATTAAATTATTTAAAGCATCACATAGCTTTTTTCTTTAAATTTCTTGAATACAAATGCAAGTTTCCACTTTAGGAAAATGTTGTAAATGTCCAAGTTAGAAAATTAATTGATTCGTTTTAATGCATTTGAATGGAAATCGTGAAATATTCTTAAATTGAAATATCACGATTTAAGAGATAAATCTTATTAATTCTTATTAATTGAAATTTAAATTACTTTTGAAAAAAAATCGATCATTGAAGTTTTTTTTTTTAATTATTATTATTACAAATAAATACGCCTATAGCAAAGAAAAAGAAAAGATACTGGCACGAAAGTGCCAAGTCAGAATGAAAAACGTAATAATATTTATTATTTACAATGCAACCATAGGGCTATCGACTTAAGTCGATAATATATTTGTAATATTTAGTTTACATTTGATTGTTTTTATACCTTTGGACATATAAAAAAAATATATTACAAAATTACACTAAACCAAGTTTTGAAGAGAGTTTACTTAAAATATGGTGAAAATCTTATTTTTTTTTAAATACTTATTTTTTCTTTAAGAAAATATTTTTGCTTCATATATTTTATCTATCTATTTATTATTTGATTAATTATTTAAAACTTAGATAAACGCCAGAATTGTAATTTTAAGTATCATTGATAGATGCTTTCTCTCAAAACTGACAATCAACCACGACTTTCTTCAGTTATGCGCATTCAGTATTACAACTTATTGTATTATTCCAGCAGAAAAGATGTTAAAGTAAAGTTTTTGGAACCAAAGAGAGAACATTACATTAATACCTCGCATAGTACTCCGACTTCGATCAGTTCAACTTCAGTATAGTCCGCTTTGTAAAGTTGAAAACAAATTAAATTTTAATTGAGCAATTTAGAAATAAATTCTAAAAAATTACTACATAAAATTATTTTTTTATAATTTATATCGTTTTTAAATTTTTATACTCAAATCTCTTTTTATGCAGTTTATTTATACATATAAAAAAATATGTATGTTAGTCCGGGATATTGGCGAAAATGTTTACCCGTACTATGCGAGTATTTCAACTAAAATCAAATGCTTGATCGTATCTTTCCGACCACTTACTTAGTTTTTTAATATTTTTTTTTATAATTAAGGGTTTTTATTTTGATTTTATTATTTAAATAATCCATAGATATTGAAATAATCAATAACATTAATAAATGATTATTGTTTTCAGAGTATGGTAATATAATGTTATTAATTTTCTGATTTGTTCTATCCTCGTTGATAATAATTATATTTGTCTTAATTTTTCGCTTATTTTAATATATTGTTATTTAATACTTGTTTTGTCTTAAATAATATATTAAGCTATATAAAATATATGTAAATACTGATTACGAAAAATTTCCATTTTATTCACATTCACATATAATAAATAATGTTCGCATACGTTAATTAATTACTATGGGAGGATACGTAAACTAATATAATGTAAACAAAACCTTCGTTTAGTATTACAATCGATTTACGCAACCCAATCAGTCCGTATGGCATGCGACATCCATTGCACGTGATCCTTTTTTCTCAGCCTCCAAATTGATTATAATTCGCATGCAGAAAATGCAAACGCCCGGCTAGCAAGGATAGCAATGCTTGCGTGCCAATTAAAGCCATTGGCAAGAGTTTTAAATTATTTTCGTTACCCAACTTGCTTAGTTGCAACTGGAAAATGCGATTATTTTCGATTGAAGTCATCCTACGTCGTTTTCCCATAATTATTATCTTCTTTCTGAGCCTGAACGAGCTGAGCTGTGGTTGTAAATTATTTGGGAATCTATTGCATTGTGTATGATCTGAGTAAGGCAAGGAAGAGGAGGCTTTGAGGAACGAAAATATCTGTTATTGTTGTTTCAATTATGAGCAACTAACTTTCTCTGCTCGTTTATTTCTCTATATATATTTTATTAATGATCCCGTTCTGTGAGAATTATATGCGTTTAGCGGAAATAAGATATAAATTATTAAAACTCACCTTTATTTATTGAGGAAACCTAATGCGCTATAAACAATCCGCTATTAATTATTCATTTCTAATTAGTAATTAAGTATAAAATATATAATTTATATTTAATTAAAAAATAATGTATTAAACTGAACTCACATACACTAATAGTATATGTGCTATTCATTTTATTTATATTTTCAAATACTTTTTAAATTAAATTGTTACAGTTATTGACATTATATGTATACTTATTTTTAATTTATATAATGTTTCTAACAGTAACGATGTTTTCTAAATGATAAAATGGTCTTAAAATATATTTGTAATACAGTAAAAAAAAAAACTAAATAATATAAATGATACAAATGTTTGCCTGAATTGTAAGTTAGATTTGATAAATAATAAAATTATGTCTATTCAATATATTGTTGTTGAGTCATACAATTTTAATTAAATTTAAGGAAACGCTAAATGCATTGGATTCCATTCACTTTCTAACTTAATAGTATCCTGACTCACAGATTAAAGTACTCTAAATTCTCTAATGCAGTTCACTTTAAATAGATTACAAATGTGTTTTTCAACATATTTTAAGAAATTTAGAATAGAAATAATTGAATGATTGTTGTATGTATGTAAACTATATTAACGATTCTAAATTTATTTTCTTAGCAAATTTATTTTATAAATTAATATGATTGAATAATTTTTATTACTTTTATTTTACATCGTTTTAATTAATTGATATTATATAAAATTAATAAATTATAAAATTCTAATATTTCATACACATTATCTCTCTCTCTCTTTATTTATTCTTATCTCTTTTTTTATATTAAAAGGTTCTCCTCATTTTATTTTTATTAATGTTCTTTAAAATGCAATCTTATAATAATTATTTTCAATTTCAAGGAAAGAATGATCATATTCGAAACTAGTGACTTTCACCAAAGTTAGCATCCGGAGTTGGAGAATAAAACACAAAATGATGCAATTACAATTTAAGATTACAGTGGAACCTCGTTTAATGAGATTAATTCGTTCCAAAATTTCCGGATTTTTACTCGTATAATGAAATACTCGTATAGTGAAACATATCAAAAATACACATATGTGTACACAAGTTTTGAAAATGATGTAGAAGGCGCGCAATCCGGGACTTCTCTTCTCATCGTCACTCGTTATGCGAAATGACGCTCGTTAAGCGAGTCATTATTCTTACAATTAATTTTTCTCCTTATGTGAGGTGCTCGTTAATCGAGGTCCCACTGTAATACAAACACGATTAAGATACCTTGCATAGTGTTCATTTGATATATCTAGTGACTAGACTTTAGATTCATTATAATCCGGTTTGATATTTTCAGAACGAATTTTCAAATAAAACTTTGAAGCGAAAATATATCAAAAAATAGTGTTAATACGTTTTTTTTTAAGAAAAACTTCAAGAATAACCTTTTTGCTACATTTAATAAAAAGTTTAATTACGACGAAATGACTATAATATTTGCATTATTTTGTTATAATTTGTCATAGAGTTAAAGGATGAAAGATTGGAACAGTAGTTTTATTTATCATAAAGTCATCTTTGCTATTCTTTAAAATAGTTATATATTTTAATGCAACCACCAAATAAAAGGTTACTTTTTTTCTTCATATACTATTTTATAAGAATCTTTTTTTTTGTCAAGATATTGCATAGCTACATAATTTAAACTTGTTACTTTAAGTTTATACAAGAAACGGATGTTAAAGAATATTAAATAGATCAAGTTTTTAATCAAACGATTTAACCATGTGAAAACTTGTTTGACTGTGGAGGAAATTTGAATATTTTGATCCAAATAAACGAAGCCACTAAATTCCTGAAAGACGAAAGTATAGAAATTTATTTCAAAATTATTATATTTAAATGTTTAATATAAACAAATAATTATTGTAACAAAAGTTTTTATGATCAAAATCATAATAAATATATATACAAATGTTTACTAAATATTTAATTTATTAATAATTTTAATTTATTTTAATTATAATGATTGCAAATTATTGGATGATAATTATTATTTCGTATAATTTATTTGTTTTTACAATAATATGTTTTCTCCAATAAATAGAAAGATAAGAAATTTGTCCATAAACCTTGGAATACGTTCTATTAACTCTACATTTCTTTTTTGTGCTTTAGCCCAATTCTGTTATCTGATTTTATGTTGTTCCTATTATATTTTATTAACGTTTTGAAAGAATTAGAGCCGTTTAGTTCCGGGGCACGATCGTATCTAACTAATATTCTCGGATCTTTGAACAGGAAAATTGGTGGCTATTGAAAGCGGTTTGCAGAGCGTGTAAATAAAATCTACTTATTAAGTGTCAGAAATACAGTCTCATTTGGAAATAGAGAAATTAAAGCGAATGAACAAAAAAAGGCACTCACTCACTTCTTCTCGACTCAAAGCCCATTTAGTTTTACAAGATTAACTATATTTGAGTGTTACCCACGAGCAAGCAACATGAGCAAATAATTAAAAAAAAAAGAAAATATATTAAGTAATAAAAAAATACTTGTTAATTAAGAATGCTCAATGAGTAATGATTAAGTCACGGATTTTAATAAATTTCTTTTTTTTTTGCGGAGTTTTATGTAATATAATTGGTATTGTGGCTTTATTTTTTTAAGTTCTTCTGTCACGCAAAGTTATGCATCTTTTCACACACACCTGCAGAGATCTTGTGACCTCTCGGAGAAAGTCTCATCGTTCTCCTCTAGGCCAAGTCTAGGCACGAAGAAAGCATTAGT